TGCAAAGATAAAAAAATATATAGACAAAAATTTGACTTTTACACACAGCAGTTTGGTTAGTTGATATTTTTGTGTTTGACGCCACATTCAGTCCTATTGGCTATTTTGTGGCAATCAGTTTTTATTAGTGGAGGAAGTACTTGGAGACAACCACCGATCCACACAGCAGACACAAAAGGGAAATTTGTGTTGGTGTTGCTTGCCAGACATTAAATCATTCTAAAAGTAAGTTTTTATGTATCTGTTATTTTTTTCTCCTGAAAAGGTGGATTTTCTTTATCATCGTTTTGGCTTCATCAAATAAAAATAGCTGTCTTTTGAAGGTGTTTAATTATAGGTCCGCTTCAAAGTATAAAAGTTCTAAATTTTATTAGAATCGAAATAATTCTTTCATGCCATGTTCTGTGCTCATTTTAACATGGGTAGGCATTATATTTGTCAACATTTTGAACCTCGCTTACGCTCGGTATAAAGGTATTGACAAATATAATGCCTACCCATGTTAAAATGAGCATATAGCATGACATGAAAGAATTATTTCTTAAACGGGAACGGATATGAACATAAGGACAGAAATCGTGTCCAAAAGATTTTTGACTATGATTAAAACCTAATGAGGAAGAGATGGGTCACTTTGAGGGACCTTTAACAATGCAGAAATATCTGTCTTCTCTTAAACATATAAAAAAAAATCCAAATCGCCTGGAATAGATGGATTGACTGTTAAGTTATATAAATGCTTTTTGGATGATATTCAGATACCACTGGTAAGAATTCTAAATGAGGCTTTAGAATATGGAAATTTTTCTATCATTCAAAGACAGGGACTCTATACTTGTATACTAAAGGAAGATAAGTCAAAATGTTATCTTAAAAACTAACGACCTATCACAGTGCCGTGTGTAGAAAATAAGACAGCTACTGCAAGTCTGACAAATAGACTCAAAAAGGTGCTGGTAAATATAATAAGCCAAACACAAAACAGTTTTCTTAAAGGTGGGTATATAGGCGAATGTACCAGTCTGGCTAAGATTATTTATGACCTGATTGAAAAGATGGAGGATGATGACATTCCTGGATTTTGGAAAAGTTTTCGACAAAGACGAATAGTGTTTTATATTGGAGGCCTTGCAGTTTTAATACTTTGATCATACATATAAGAGTTGGATAGAGGCATGCTACTATGGTGCCTCCAGTGCAGTGTTAAATAACGGATAACTTTCAGATTGTTTTCCTTAGAAAGGGGAGTCCGTCAAGAGGATCCTTTGCTTCATTATCTATTTCATTTAGTGCTTGCATTGCTCAGTGCAGCTATTAACAAAAACTGACAATGACTAAAAAAGGAAAAGGACAAACAGACAAACAACAGTACATAAAACTTAAAGTTACAAAAATGGAAACAAATAGTACTGTATTGTGAAAACATCTATATGAAAGAGTTGATTAAAGACTTTGGACGAAAAAAAAAGAATGTCGAATCATGAGGTGCAAATGGTTTTGAGGTTACCGTTTTTTTTTTCTATACCTGTACTATCTTTCAACATCTTTCAACATATTAGCCTTGAACTTTATTTGACAATTGTTTTAGTAATCGCTAGACCGTTAATGCTTGTTTTGCTCTGCATTCATATTGGACACAATTTTCAAATGAAATACCCTAAAGATGACTGTTGACACTGTTGTTCTGATTGGCCTATTGGTTCTTTCGAAAAAATATACATTAGATACCTTTTCAAAGTTAGAGAAAGATAATAACCGCAATAATTGAACAAATACTGTATAAATATTACACTTTATCAATGAGTCTTTTAAACCAAAACAGAACTATCTAAAGATCAATTTTCTATTTTCATACCCGCATAAGTAACATTACCGTAATCTTTTGGATGAACAATACTTTTTATAACGCTTCTGAGGGTGGGAATCTAAATGTGCGAAGAATTGAAAACACAATTAACCTGTATGCCATCTATATTATTGCTTTCAAAGGTGTTTCGGTAATTCAAATGTTACGTTTATTGACATCTGAATCAGTTGTTTAGTATATATTCTATAATATCGTTAATGTATTTGCACTTATGTATATGTGTCCTGCTCTTTTCCATACAATATTGCAATAGTTTATAAATGTTGACACTCTATTAAAATAATAACTTTGTATATCCGTAATAAAACTTTTTATTTTTTATTTTGTGGTCTTCAAACGGGAATGGTGATTACATCATTTGTCAATGTAGGCAAATAAGAATGTTTAATATGTAATAGAATCATCTTTTCTAATTTATGTGGTTTCCCGAGAGTTGTTGAAGTAAACAAGTGAAAATTAAATAAATTGTGTCATCCTGTTTTCTAAGCAGATAGATAAGTATAAATATATACAAAATTTAGTTCTTGTGGCGACATAGCTCATGTTTGCTGGTACAGCATTAAGCCGTCATCAATCAATCAGAACTTAATAAAAAAAAATCAGATAACAGAAACAAACCCTTTTTTATGTTGATTTTTATGATTTTTTTTTGCAATTTACAACTAGAAGAACTTTCCTATTTCATGAGGTTAGTAGTTTTATAATTGACCGACAAAAGGTCAGGCGTTTTTAAGGTAATGTATTTATTTACTTTTTCAGCCAATACCACCTCTCCAAGTTAACAAACACTATAGGGTGTGTTTTTTTGCATCATGTACAAGTATTTGAGTACATGTATAAGATGGTATGATTTCAATATCAATATAATATATACTTCGGGTCTACTTTCGAGAAGTTCAAATTTTCTTTGAATTGTATTTCTAGTATTGCATATATATTTTTTTCTCCCAAGGAATTATATTGATTTATTTTTGTCGATCTCTTTCACTCGAGATAAAAAGAAAGGGAGGGGGAGAGACTTGAATACTCAAAACAAATTTTAGCTTTTTCTTAAATCAATTTGCATACCATAAGAACATCATTAGTGCTGGTTTTTAGCTTACTATTTATAATTCCTTTTGTTCGCTTTGTTCTTCAAAGCAATTGCTATTGGTAAGACATTTTCAATATTGTGTCATTTTTGTACAAATGTTGTGGGGAATAGAGCCTACCTACTATGGTCAAGACACAATTCATTTGTTTAAAAGAAATAAAAGGGAAAATGGAGTACAAGTTAATGAGATAGCAACCGAACGACAAAAACAAAATAACCAAAAGTCATCTAGAAGGCAAACTACAGTCTTCAACTATAAGGTTTTGGAACAATAAGTCATTATAAAGCTCAACACCGTCACATTATTTATGTGTCTGTCCCAAGTCAGAAGCATGTAATTCAGTGGTTGTCATTGGTTGCTGTCTGTTTGTGTCTGTCCCAATCCAGAAGCATGTAATTCAGTAGTCAGTAGTTGTCATTGGTTGCTGTCTGTATGTGTCTGTCCCAAGTTAGGAGCATGTAAATCAGTGGTTGTCATTGTTTGCTGTTTGCCATTTTTGTAATCGTTTTCTGTTCTAGTTTTAATCATGCCGGTACCTTTAATAGCTTACATAACTATTTGGGTTTACCATTATTTATGATATGAGTTTCAACTTTCATGATTTTGGTTTTACCTATTATGGAATGGGATTTCATTCATGGTGTGGGTTTTACATTTTATGGTAAGTGTTTTAACATTCATGATAAGGGCTTTAACATTTCATGGTTTGGGTTTTATCTTTCATGGTTTAGGTTTTATATTTTTGGTATGGGTTTTACAATTCTTGGTATGGGTTTTAAAATTCATTGAGTGGGTTTTAAAATTCATTGTATGTGTTTTACCATTCATTGAATGGATTTAACAATTCATGGTAGAGGTTTTACAATTCATGGTTTGTATTTTACAATAAATAGTTTGGGTTTAACCAGTCAAGATATATGTTTCACTATTCATTTTATTGGTTTTAAAATTCATGGTCTAGATTTTAAAGTTCATGGGATGGGTTTTACAATTCATGGTATGGGTTTTACATATCATGAAAGGGATTTTACATTTCACGGTATTAGTTATTAATCTATGATATGGATTTTACAATTCAATGTTTAGACTTTTCAATAAATGGTATGGGCTTAACCAGATAAGTTATGGGTTTAACCATTCATGGTATTGATTTTAATATTGATGGTATGGATTTTTAAAATTTATGGTATGGATTTTACCCTTCATGGGTAAGGGTTTTTCAATTTATGGTATGGGTTTATAATGCAAGGAATGTGTTTTATAATTGATAAAAGAGAGGCGAAAGATACAAAGGGATATTCAAACTCATAAGTCGAATACAAACTGACAATGCCATGGCTAAAAACGAAAGTCGGGTAAATAAAGGCAACAGTAGTATACCGCTGTAAATGACAAACAGTAAACAAAACACAAAAAAAAAGAAAACTAAAGACTGAGCAACACAAATGACATCAACAACCGGGGGTGATTTCAGGTACTACGGAAGGGTACGCAGATCCTGCTCATAATGGTATTGGTTTATTCATAGTAGCGGTTTTAATATTTTGTGTGTGGGTTTTACAATTCATGGAATGGATTTTACCATTCATGAAAGGGGTTTTATCATTCATGGTACGGGTTGTACAATTAATGGTGTTGGTTACACCATTAAAAGCATATGCTCTATTAAAAGGTGACCATTGATTACGGTACACATCTTTAATGAATTTTCGGAGTTCACTGTCCAGCCTTCTTCAGTGATAAATGTGTTCGTTTTTATAATCCTGTGACATTAAAATAGTCACACACTTTACTTAATTTATAATATACAAAATGTATGTACATCACCTAAGAGAAGTCTTTAATATAAAATGTATAGTATGTAATTAATATGTTCAATTGAAAAGTAGCGTAAAGAGTAGAAGTTAAAACACATCAAACCGGACTTTTAATGATCACGTTCGCAAGTGTAATGTTTTCTAAATCCTTGAAAATTAATAAATATTTACGTTTTACATAAATACATTTGTCTTCAGGACTGGAAAAAGCCTGTGGTTTACCTTAACCGATGAAATATGTTACCACGTAGGACATAATACATGTTTTAATTGTCTATATAAGAATAAGTCCGTAAATAATGTTTTACTTCTACAGTCAAGCTTAGTTTTAGTGTAAAGTAGAGATTATCGCATTGGAGACTGATAAAAAGCTTTTAAAGAGGTAAAGAAACTATATATATATATGTATGTAATCAAAACATTAATAAATGCAAACAATTTTCTCATAAATTTCACACTAGAATAATAACAAAATAGATAACTTTCTAAAACTGCTTATTTATATTTAAAAAAAAAATATATTAATAACAACTGCTTCATTAACGTTTTGTGAAATAACATGCCTTTTAGATTTGTAGGCCGTCTACTTCGAACACAGCAGAACGAGCTTTAAGTTTGACACTGTCGCATGACTATCATTTGTATCTTAATTCTTTGCAGCAAAATGCACCTACAATGGCTTTAATTGAATGATATGCAGGTGATTTTAATGATTGTTACGATTGCTCAGTCGACTATTTGATTGATCTGTTTAATTAGAACTTTCCATTTTTGTAAATGCCATTTTCCTGGTATCGATGATGAGTTTATTTTCATAAATCAAGCATTTTCCATGCTTAATAGAAAAGTTTGAAGACCTAACTTATAGTAACATTATATGCACTTTATATGCATTTGTAACGGATGACTAAACATTTTGAACATTAGATCTAGAGTTGTGTGTTTTTCAGTTTTCCAGATACAACCCAAATAATGTATTGTGTTCTATAATATGACATGAGACATTTGTCATTCTCAAATATAAGTATGATATATAAATATGATTTACATGCTTATTTACAGGTAACAACACATTAGTTCAGGTCATGACGAGACTGATAATCGGTGTACTGTTATGTGTCCTTGGTCCTGCCTGGGCGAAAAAGTGAGTAATTGCACTATACCATACAAAAAACAAAAAGATATCTTAATTTAAACCATCGACCAAAAAGACAGAAAGCCTACCGTCGAACAAATAGACAGACAGAAGTCATTAGATATAAATAAATATGGCATAACAAAGACAAAAAAAATTAAAGCAAAATGAAATGAAATAAAACAAAGAAAAACGAAATAGAATAATGCAATAAAATAAACAAAACTAAAAAAAACTTAAAAAAGAAACAAATGTTCGTAAAAACCATAGATAGTCATCGGCGTTTCTAATTGAAGTGTCTGAAAGCAAGTAATGTCATTTTAAAAGTCTTAAGGCATTTAAAAACATTATGATATTCTTCCTGTGTTCAACTTCCAGTACATATATTGTGACAGTCCCACGTCAAATACGAGCTGGTGCAAAGGCTGATATCTATATAGCACCTATTAATCCAATTGAACGAGGGGCCAATGTAGTGGTTACACTTTTGGACAAAGACAACACCACATTAGCAACTAAACGGGAGTCAATAAATTCACTGCGTGAGTATGCATAAAAAAACAACGTTAAACATATAATAGTAAATGAGTGTACAAGACCGTTTAAGAATTTTAGTTTAACAATGATAGAAGTTTTATCTTTAATCGGAACATTCAAACAAATTACAAACATATGAACATTAAAAGGCTTAAGAGAAAAAAAGAATCGTGATGAACAATTCATAAAAAAATACTGTCTCATATAATCGCTTGTGGTGCGAGATCATTTGGTTTTCCTTTGCTTTTAAATGTTTAGTTTGAGCATTCCTTATGAAAGTAAATACCACGTTAAACGAACACTAGCTACGAGATATATAAAAAAAAATAAATTATGATTTTTTTTTATCATTCATTAATAAAAGTGAAATAGTGAAATAATAATTCGCTTTTAGCAGCCAGTATGGTTCAATTTCGTCAAAATAAGCTAAAAAAACATCGATGATGAATTATTTTATTACAAGTGAATAATTCCACCTCATTGAATCCGTATCAATGTGAACTTCAATTTAAACCCTTAGCTAGAGATGGATTACGCATGATTTATACGTGTTCAGTTATTAAAAGAAAAGAATGTCAACATTGAAAGTGAAACAAAGGTAAATCATTTGATTGACTGATTCGATCTGCCAAAAATCATTCTTAAACAGGTAAAATCGAAAATTAACTTTTTTTTCTAACCTATAACATGAAATAAAACAGACATAGAAAAATCCAATTGCACGAAGTCGCTATCTATTTATGTTTATGTTTATGTTTATATCGTGTTATGTGACCGTCGGTAGTTTTCGAAGGTCATCTTGATAGTTAATTAGATGGCGTCTAGACTAAAATACACACGAAATTCTCATATATATTATCTAGTATATGCATTGTTAACTGTTTATTTAAGACTTATTATAATTTGGATACGTGTTTCAGTATGTTATAGATCAAATATGAGAATGTGAGTCAAATCGGGGAACATGATTTTGACAGCTAGTGCCCCTTTAAAAAGTAAAATAACAACAATACCGAACTCCGAGGAAAATTAAAAACGGAAAGTTCCTAATCAAATGGCAAAATAAGAAGCTCAAACGCATCAAACGAATGGATAACAACTGTCATATTCCTGACTTGGTACAGGCATTTTCTTATGAAGAAAATGGTAGATTAAACCTGGTTTTATAGCTAGCTAAACCTCTCACTTGTATGACAGTTGCATAAAATTCTATTATATTGAAAACGATGTGTGAACAAAACAAACAGACATAATAAGTAAAAATGTCAAAAATAGGGGTACAGCAGTCAACATTGTGTTATAATCTTAATCACTTTAAAAACAAACAAATATGTGAACAAGGGAGGGTTGGGCGTACACAAGCATGTCAAATCCCGCAACATTCTGTATGAGCTGTCCCAACCCAGAAGCCTGAATTCCAGTGGTTGTGATGATGCACCGTAACCCATGAAATCAGCGGTATGAATGCCTTACGATAGGACAGAGAGTATGTTTCCACCTAGAGATGGGAAATTTCATTGCGATATATGAGATGCAAGCACTCGATTTGAAATAAAACGCTAAACTTTATCAACCAACGGAATGAATGAAAAACAACTGTCAAATTCCTGACTTAGTACAGTCATTTACCGAAACTTAATTATCTAAATTGCTGACTTATGTTACATCACACTATCTGTTCTTAATTTTACTTTTCTTTAAGTTATGCATTTTCTTTTTTCATTTAATAAGAACAATAATCGTCTAAATGAATCATATTAATGCACCTTGAACTATTATGATTCAAAAACTAAAAATGGTAGCAATGTCCGACAGCTCATTCATGCATGTCCATAATATAGGGTAAATTGATTCAATTTCAGCACATAAAAATTTATTGGAAAAGAATAAATACTGCAATAGGCTGTAATTCGTTGACCAAACCAACAAATATCATTACCCCTCGGTAAATCAAAGTACGATGTTAATTATTCAAAATTAAGGGAAATATTTGGCACTGACTTGAACTAGAAACTATCAATCAATAAAGGAAAATACATTAATACGTCTTCGAATGACATTTCATTAGGTGTATATGGTTCTTGAATTCAAAACTATATTTCAATTAGCTTTGTCATCATTTATGGCTGTATGCTTGAGGTGCTACGAGTGATCTCTCTTTAGATTGTTGGTAATTCGAATTATGTAAAAACAAATTGGATCCTTGTGTAATGCTTTAATGAATATAAAGAGATGTGGTATGATTGCCAAGGAGACAACTATCCACCACAGATAACATGAAGTGTTAGTAAGCAATTGTAAGCCACCTTGCGGCCTTCAACAATGAGAAAAACCCATACCTTATAGTCAGTTATAAAAGGTCCGACATGAAAAATGTGAAACAGTTCAAACGAGAAAACTAACGACCTAATTAATAATAAAACAATTTACGAAAAACAAATATGACCGACATGAACTAACGACAACCACTATTCTACAGGCTCCTGACTTGGAACAGGCATATACGGAATGGGGCGGGTTTAAAAATGCTTGTGAGCGCTAAACCCTCCCCTAATATGGGACAGTGGTGTCTGGTATATAACGACTATATTTATTTCAAGACATTTAAAATGAAATTAATATTTACATCGAATAATTGATAACATGTTTGTTGTTTTCTATTAATGATATAAATATTATGTTCATCGTTCTTGCTTAATTTATGCAGTCTAAAGATGTCAATACCATAAGTATTGAATAGCAGTTACGTTGGTCATCAATGCATATTGTTTTGATTAACACAATGCGAGAACTTGATTCCTGATTAATTTCTTGTGATTCTAATTTCAGGACAACCTGCGGTGGTCAAATTAAACGTGAGTTTAATCTTATATACATCAATTTAAGGGTTTTGATGATAGCTTCCGTAACGAGTGAGAATTTAATATTGCTTGATGTGTCAACTTTGGCTATTTCAGTAAAATATAAATGCACCAGTGGTATCTTCTATGTTTTTGTCCCTGGAATCATTTCACATTATTTACATTGCCGAGAGATAAGAACCGGTGTTCGATTTTTACCTGTGACGACAAGTGACATTTTCCTTATAAAAACTGACCAAATGGTCTAAATATTCTTTTATTCATTATTTTTTGACACAAATGACGTCATCTGTCGTCCTTAAAGTTGATATGACTCATACCTAATGGCATTTTTGAAAAAAATACACAAAAACATTCTTGCTAATTCAAAGGATCAAAGGAAACTTCCACATATAAATACAAATCACAACAGATAAGCCCGATTAGTTTGTGTCTTGAGATATTTAAATAAAGGCAACAGTAGTATACCGCTGTTCAAAAGTCATAAATCGATTGGGAGAAAACAAATCCGGATTACAAACTAAAATCGAGGGAAACACGTCAACTATAAGAGGAAAACAACGAAATAACAGAACACAGAAGTGCAACAAAAACAAACTACAATGCAACATTCATAGAAACGAACTATTAAATAACTACTGTCATATTCCTGACTTGGTACAGGACATTTTAAGAAAAAATGATGGGTTGAACCTGGTTTTGTGGCTAGCCAAACTAAATGATGAATATATCCAACTAATTGGAATGTTACTTTTACTGAAGGTACCGATAACAATCCCAGAAGGATATGATTACAAGATGAAAGTCAGAGTTTCGGGAGGACTCTCATTTGATAAAACAGTAACAAGAATACGAGCAACTACAAAGGCGACCTCTATCTTCATTCAAACTGATAAAGCGATTTATAAGCCTGGAGATTTAGGTACATTTCTCAATATGAAAATTTAATTGTGTGTTATTGATATATTGAAAATTACGTGTGCCTGACATGATTTACCTGGAAAAAAATTAATGACAATAAAATATTATGCTTTTAAACCAAACTATCATAAACATAACAAAATCACTAGAAATGATTTGCTGTCCCGTAAGGATGGAGATGATACTTGATACTTGAGAACGCCGAATCCGAAAAAAAAGATGTTAGATTGCCAAATAATGATTTTCTTATAACTTTTACATGGAGGCACAGTTCTTTTAAATATCTCTTTTTTTAAGTTAGACAAAACAAAACAAATTGTACACATTTTGATAATTGTGTTTTAAAGGAACCATAGATATTTCATAAAGACTATATGTTGACCTTAATATTTCTTTTAAGATATTTTGTTTTGCTGGATTGCTGTTTCATTGAATGTTGTATGAATGACATTTGTATTTGTTCTTTTCTACAATAACAAATACTTCTAACCTTACTTATCTTTATTTCTATAATTGTTATTGTTTTATGATTCTAACAACACTCCTTTTTTCTACAACAGTCCAGTTTAGAGTATTCGGTACTGACCCCAGTTTAAAAGTCCGAAATGATCCCTTGGATATTTTTATACAGGTAAGACAAACTTTAAGATTTCATTGTGCATACTTTTGTTTCCCGACTATTTAAGGCTTAATAATGCGAAGGCAATACGTCATTAAAAAATATATTCTCAGATATTATTGAGAATACATATAGATTTTAGGAATACCAAGTTGAAGTTTGGTTTATTCCTATTTTCAAACCGAGGTAAACAATCACCTTTCTTTTACTTCATTTAACTTTATCAATAAAAAGAAATACATTCAGAATATTTGATTCCTGAATGTTACTTTCATAACTTCTGCAGTTGTGTAAAATGTTATCTATGAAAAGAAAGATGTACTTTTTTAGACTAAGAAAGGGGTTTTAAATGTCCATGCATTTATATATATATATTGAGGTATCAACGAGGCATGCTTTCATTTCAGGATCCCAAAACTAACAGAGTAAAGCAGTATCTTAAAGTAAAACCTGTTTTGGGTGTTTTTACTGGATCATTTCAACTTTCAACATTAACAAATCTAGGAACATGGACAATCAAAACAGAACAAAGGGTATGTTTAACATTATCAGTAAACAATATTTTGTACACATTAAAAATCAAAAGTATGTTGTACAATATTTTAAGTAAAAGGTATGCTTTACAAAATTATCAGAAAAAAATATGTTGTATAACTTATAAGTAAAATGTATCTTGTACAAAGTTGAAGTTATGTTGTACTACATAATTAGTTACAGGCATGGTGTACAACATCATTAGTAACAGGAATGTTTTGTACAAAGTTACAAGTAAAAGGTTTGGTATGCAACATTATCAGTAAAGGGTATGTTGTACAACATTATCAGTAAAGGGTATGTTGTACAATATTATAAGTAAAGGGTATGTTGTACAATATTTTAAGTAAAGGGTATGTTGTACAACATTATCAGTAAAGGGTATGTTGTACAATATTATCAGTAAACGATATGTTGTACAATATTATAAGTAAAGGGTATGTTGTACAATATTATCAGTAAACGGTATGTTGTACAGTATTATCATTAAAGGGTATATTGTACAATATTATAAGTAAAGGGTATGTTGTACAATATTATAAGTAAAGGGTATGTTGTACAATATTATCAGTAAACGGTATGTTGTACAATATTATCAGTAAAGGGTATATTGTACAATATTATCAGTAAACGGTATGTTGTACAATATTATCAGTAAAGGGTATATTGTACAATATTATCAGTAAACGGTATGTTGTACAGTATTATCAGTAAACGGTATGTTGTACAATATTATAAGTAAACGGTATGTTGTACAACATTATCAGTAAAGGGTATGTTGTACAATATTATAAGTAAACGGTGTGTTGTACAATATTATAAGTAAAGGGTATGATGTACAACATTATCAGTAAAGGGTATGTTGTACAATATTATAAGTAAACGGTGTGTTGTACAATATTATACGTAAAAGGAATGTTATAAAACATTTTATGTGGAAGGTATGGAGTACAAAATTATCAGCTACAAGTATGTTGCACAACACTAATAGTAAAAAATAAGTAACCGACCTCCATGAGCTGCCCACGAGTGGGGTACCCGTTCAGCTCAGTTTATAGAACGGTGGCTTACTCTGTAAGGGGTCCCAGGATCAAATTTTGGCTGATGCAGTAATTGGCACCCAAACAAGAAAACCCACGGTAAGAAAAATGATATATAACCAGAGGAAGTGATGAAAATATCGTCAATATAGTATATGACTCTTGAGGTTGGGAACGTGTAGTTCGGCTGGTGCAGAAATTCCCTTTTGGGGACAAATCATGCTCTCCGGTTACAGTATATTTATTCCTTCGATCTTTGAACATTGCAAGTTTATGTCAAGTAAGCATTGTACAAAATAGTCTTGTGCTTTATTTTTTTTGTGTTAATTCTTTAAACCAAAGTCAAATGAGTGCTTGATTCTGGTTTTTTAAATGGCCTTATACACCTTGAAACAAATATTTGCTATTCAAAACAAATGAGAAAATAGTCAATATGAATTTAACTAAACATTATAATCAGAGTTCACGAATTATCACTAGACAACAGTATCTAAAGCAATAAAATTATTTCTAAAAAATTCCTTTTGTAAGAAAATAATTTATGGAATAAATGGGAATGCTCTTGCATATATGTTAGACTCAGATCGACGTCCGGTCTCTAATCGACGTCCGTTTCTCGAATCTACGTCCGTTTCTCAAATCGACTTCCAGTGTACGTCACGTTCTAAAATCCGTGTCCGATATGTTTACCCCCTAATCGACGTTCAACGTAACGCCATGTATTACCAAAACTACATCCTATCGACCGGAGTCTCCTCTCATTGATCTCATTAATCAATAAAGTAGACAACATCCCGTCCAAAATAATAGGTTATGAAGTATAGATTCTAGGTACTGACGTTGTTTATCATCTTAATTACGTGTTAAAGTTCCCTTTCTATGTCCTTGTGTTTTTAACCCTTACTGTTTAGTCCATCTTTGATTGTATACGCATGACGTGGCTCGGTACATACACATCCCGCTTTGGGTTATTGTGCTATGGTCGATTTTTAATTCTTGTCTTTCATTTTTGCTTATGTACTTTGTCTATATGCCATTTGTGTTTCTTTGTTGAAACAGTTATTTTTTTTTATAGTGATTAAGATTATATTACAATGTTTGACTGCTGCACCCCAATTTTTGACGTGTTTACCTATTATGTTTGTTTTGCTCACACATTGTTGTCAAAACAATGGAATTCAATGCGACTGTCATGCAACTGAGAGTTTTAGCTAGCTATAAAACCAGGTTTAATCCATCATTTTCTACATAAGGAACCAAGTCAGGAATATGAGAGTTGTTTTCCATTCGTTATTGGTGTTTGAGTTTTTGATTTTTCCATGTTATAAAGGCCTTTCCGTTTTGAATTTCCCTTGGAGTTTGGTATTTTTTTTATTTTACTTTTTAAATTTTCAATTAGTTCTCAATCACAGAATTAAGAGCGCAAAATAGTTTGAAAGGCTTTAGAAAAAGGGAACGAAAATAATATCGAATAGACAATCAAAGAGTAAGTTATATCATCACCCTCGATTCAGGTCCAACAACTTTATGGATTCGATTTACAGGTCAATGCATCATCTCCTCGTAAAAATGACAAAACTTCAAAATCTTTTGTCAGATACTGTATAGGTATTTATGTTTATGTTTGCCGAAGTTCAATGTATGAAATATAGAAAGAACAGAAAATTTTCAAAACATTTCCTTTGTCTGAATATTTATTACCTCGAAATGGATAAACGACAAAAAGCTGACAAGAAATCCTTAGATTCTTTTTTTAATTCAATAATGAACGTAGTTGATATACGTATACAACATTTTAAAGAACATTTTACTCCTAACAAAAACCATAATAACCCTATTTCTCGTATCAAACATCAGCTAAAAAAACTCGCCAAGGAATTTGTTTTTGTCCCGGGTGATAAGGCTGCTAATAATATAATTATTGTTTGACGTAAATTTTACATTGAGGTTCTTCAAAAGGAAATCACAAATTCACCAACATTCCAACTGACTCTATTTTCGGAAAATGACATCTGTAACAAACATAAACTTTTAGCTACTTCTTTACAAGCAGAACCAAATACAATGAAAGTTTCAACTATGTACTGGCTTCCGAAGCTGCAGAAAACACCTTACAAATATAAATTTATTTCGTCTTTAAGCCATTGTTCCACTACTAAACAGTCTATTCTACTTACTAGTACACTTGGTACAATCAAAAACCTAATAATAAATTGTTCAAAAAAGGCCTTTGAAAATAGTGAAATTAATTACTTTTGGAGTGTCAAAAATTTGTTGGAAGTACTTGGTAAACTGCATGCTTATATTGGTGATTTCGAATCTGTTTTTATTTTTCTACCCTATATACCACTTTGCCTCATAATCTTATTAAGAAAAATTCACACACCTAATTAAATGGGCATTTAAAAAGTCAGAATGCGATTATATCTGTTCAAACTCCTTTAGGTCATTTTTCAGTAACAACAAACAAAAGAACTATGTCAATTGGACCTACTTTGATACTATAACTGCCCTTGAATTTTTACTAGATAATATTTTTGTTCGACATGGAGACTCCGTATATCGTCAAGTTATCGGAATTCCAATGGGGACTAACTGTGCACCACTTATTGCGGACCTGTTTCCATATTATTATGAGTTACAATTTATGACTAAAATCAGCAAAGACCAATCGAAACAACATCTGATACAAAAATTTAATAACACTTTTAGATATTTGGATGATATATTGGCTCTCAATAATGACGACTTCAGTATATACACTAAAGAGATTTATCCGGCTGAACTGACTTTAAATAAAGCTAATACTAACAATGAACACTGCCCTTTCCTGGATCTTGATATTTATATCTTTAGCGGGAAGCTTAATACCAAAATTTATGATAAAAGAGATGATTTTTCATTTCCTATTGTTAATTATCCATTTTTAGATGGTGACGTTTCCTTGCCGCCATCTTATGGTGTTTATATATCTCAACTTGTTCAATTCGCTCGTGTATGAAACAACGTATTTGATTTTAACGAAAGAAATCTATGTATTACTGAAAAATTATTACACCAGGGTTTTCGATATCACAAACTAGTCAAACCATTTACTAAATTTTATCATCGGTACAAGGACATCATTCGTGAATATAAATCAACATGCAGACATCTTATACGTTCAGGTATTCCAAATCCAATCTTTGATGGTAATATTCTTTACAAAGCACAAAAATGTCGGCATTCACATTTAAAGCTAATCAAACCTTTAAACAGACTTATTCAGAAGAGATATAGTTATGATATTGTTGTCAGGTCATTAAAGATGGCATATTTTGGTATAAATATTGATTCACTCATAGGGTCTTTGCATCGGAAATAAACACATCTATTCTAAAACCAGTTGTTGGTATGATACGGTATATGTTCTTCTCATATATTTTATGATGGTATGATACTAAACCCCTTTCGGGAGGGATTGTGCTTGGTTTTCATATGATGAAGACATAATCTTTCAATCAGTTTGATTGAGGTCTGGAGCTGGCATGTCAGTAACTGCTAGTAGTCCTTTGTTAATTTATGTATTATTGTCATGTGCGGGATTTTCTCGCTGTGTTGAAGACCCATTGATGGCCTTCAGCTGTTTTCTGCTCTTTGGTCAGGATGTTGTCTCTTTGACACATTCCCCATTTCCATTCTCAATTTTATCATAAAGGCAGCCTTGATTTTTTCAATCAACTGTCACAAAATGATAATGTCCAAACTTGTGTATTAATATGATCATCTTTGGGTAGATCAGCTTTTACATTTGCCAATAGACCAATATTTGAAGATTAGTTGTCCACTTTCAAGCTGTTAACACGCAGATGTTGGTCAAATAATATCCTATTATGAACATTATGTATGAGAGCATTTGCTATTCAAATTGGACGATTCAAAACCGGATGCATTAATTAAAACCTGAACTGGTTTGTTGCCACATATAGACCTAAATGTTTGAAAACATCCAACTGTCTATCGAATGCAAGTATCCACTACTTTTAAAGAGCAGTTATTTAATTTTTTGTTTCTTTTAAAATTGATTTTGTTTTAATGCGCAATATAAAGTTAATCGAAAGCGGAGTAAACCTTCACAATGGACTACTGTATTCAAACAATAATAGATGACAATATTATTAATTAGATATAAGAAGATGGGGGATGAGTGCCAACGAGACAACTCTCCATCCAAGTCACAATTTGTAAAAGTAAACCATTATAGGTCAAAGTACGGTCATGGCTCACACCGAACAGCAAGCTATAAAGGGCCCCAAAAATGACTAGACGTGTAAAACCATTCAAACAGGAAAACCAACGGTCTAATCTATATAAAAAAAAACGAGAAACGAGAAACACTTATAAACCACATCAACAAACGACAACCACTGAACATCAGGTTCCTGACTTAGGGCAGGTGCAAACTAAATCCAATTTTCCCCTACAAGATCTACCGGTAATAATATAAAATTCGTGCACAGTCTGATTTTCATGGTAAATAATTGACCGCTAATATACTAACTATCCACCATGTATATCAATTGTTTGGGTTGAATATGAGTTTTTCTTTATTTTGTTTGTTATTATTGAAATTTTTGAAAGGAGAACTATTTCATTCGGTTTTTTTTTCTTTTTTGTTTGTTATTGGCCATTTACTCATTTCAAAAGAAATGTTTACATACATTTGTTCAGATTGTTTTATTATTTAGAGTGATTTCCAGTGTTTCAATGCATATATTCTTAAATCTATATCTTTACAAATGCATATTCTCAAATTGTTATTATGTGGCTCTGACAAAGTTTTTTCCTAGAAGTCTAGTAACATACATGCAATAATAAATATATTATTTTGTATGAGTTCAAATATGCCTTAATTTGTAAATTACACAAACTTTTCAGATTCCTAATCATTCAATGGAAATGTTGTAAAAATATACTGTCGGTGTATCATTTAATACAATTTAGAGGTTATCGGAACTCAATAATAAAAAAGGATCCAATCCATGAAATAACTGTAACTTTGGAAAGACGTTACAACAGTAGCTTGAATAAAAGATACAATAGATAAGCAAGCATCTTAAAAATATACCATTCGCCCTCGGGAGTCATGGTATCTTTTTAACTAACAGACTCTTATCCATTTTATTTCCTTTATGTATGTAAAAATTTATTTATGTAGTTCGGGTAAAGCGATCCTGAAAATATGTTAAAAACTACTGTTTCTTTTTACAGAAGTATTTGACTCAGTTACATATGGATGACTCCTACCTAGAATAAAAATTAGTAAAATTGGTGTTTGCATGTTCTAATATTTGTATTTTGTTGATCCTGTCTTTTAGGAAGATACACCCTTTCTTTATCAATACATGAATCGTTAAAATGAAATCATTAAAGTATACATTGTATGATTTCAGACAGAAGAAACTTCAAAAAGCTTTGACGTAGAAAGAGTTGGTGAGTACATCATTTGTTGGTCATGAAGTGCAAATAATAAAACTCCCCTTTAAAATAATACCGCAACGCTTTCATTCTATCTGTTTTATGGACAAAATAATGCATTTCGAGAAAGAAGTGAATCAATTTAAGTTCATATAAATCGTAATATAAGTTTACAATTAGAGTAATTCAATTGAACTTAAAATAGTTCTGTGTTACATACAACAAAACTGTCAATCAATGAATGCGTAAGAGGTGAATTAATATATCCTTCCTTCCATATATTTATTTGTTCTGTGCGCTCTTCGTGTTGATGATGCAAACAAAATAACTGATTTTAATCTACTACAAATTGGTTAATAAATAAAGGCAAAAGTAGTATACCGCTGTTCAATAGTAATAAATCGATTTAACTGAAACAAATCCGGGACACAAACCAAAACTGAGGGAAACACAACAACTATAAAAGGAAAAAAAAAACGGAACAACAGAAACACTGAACTGCTACAAAAACAAACGCCAACATACATAGAAACGGACTATGTGATAACAACTGCCATAAACCTGACTTGGTACAGGACAGTTTAAGAACAAATGGTGGGTTGAACACTCTAAAAAAGTGCTAGTTATGAACAGGGTATATGTCCAGTAGTACGTCATTTGGCGCTTGTATAGTTTGATATACTAATTTGATAAAGCAGAACATTCTACCTGTTTCTGATTCTTGTACAAATAAACTTCATATTTTCTGACAATGTATGATTGTTCTGTATTTATAGAAACAAGTTTTATAAAATAAACGTCTCTTTGAATCTAAGCGTTGTTAGCAATAAGATTTAATACAAAACAATTATAAAAATAGTTTTAATACGTAATTTTTTGTTTGTTTTTTTTTATTTTATAACACAATGTTACTCCTTCTTCGAAATGATACATTTCAATGAACCAAAGTCTCATCAAATCGCACAACCATTGTGTATACTTTTGCATTTATTAATTTGCCGAATATCAAATAGTATTTTATTTTTAATATTTTAGTTTTACCTAAATTTGAAGTAAATGTTGTATTGCCGTCATTTGAGCTGAAAACCGATCGATTCTTCACAGTTACAATTAATACAATGTGAGTACATTTGATGGAAATAACAAACGAGTTACAATTAATACAGCGAGTACATAAAATGGAAATGATAAACAACACTTCTTTGTAATATAAAGTTATTGACTGTTTATGATTGTCAGCATTGATAATAACTGACAGATGTCTAACAAAGCAGTTGAAAAAGTCAATTCACTTAAGCTAGATTCAAATTGCATCAATAACGGTATACTAAGCGAGAAATAAACATTGGAAATTTATCTACAACTACATCTATGTATGTTTCTCAATATCATTGATATTGCCATATACTGTCATAGTCGAGATATTTTCTATTTTCAAATAGAATAGAAAATGGAAACGGGGAATGTGTGAAAGAGACAAAAACCCGACCAATAAGCAAAAAAAAACCCAAATCCACCAATGGGTCTTTAACACATCGAGTAAATCCCGCAACCGGAGGCAGGCCTCTGTTAGTAATGCGAGTACACTCAGATTTGTACTATGTATCTTTTTTGTTGTAGGGATGTATAAATACCCTGTTACCTCCGGTCTGTGTTTTTGTTAGTTGTTTTTCTGCTTTGTACCGATCTGATGAGTCAAGCTCTTTTCAACTGATTTTTATACTTTGTTCATATGCTGTACTTTTACATCACTGTCTCTGATTATGTATGTACTCGTCCCAAGTCAGAAGCCTGTAATTCAGTAGTTGTCGTTTGTTGCTGTATATCATATTTTTAGTTCGTTTATTGTTTTTTTACATAAACAAGGCCATAAATTTTTGTCCCGTTTCTTATTATTATTATGGCACCCTCAGCGGAGTTGTCCACGCTATTTCTCGGAATTGGATAGACCAATGTTGATGGAACTTTACCATAATGTGGTCCACTATGTGAAATTGTGCAAGAGACATTTGAATGGTTCAAAATGGCCACCGTTACCATGGAAACAGAAAAAATGAAAAAAAAAATCAAAATTTTTAATCTTTTGTTGTAAGAGCCAACCTATTGAAACTTTATGCAAATGTTGCCAGTGGTACCCTGAGGTACCACCAGTACTTAAAATTCCAAAATGGCTGTCATTGCCATGGAAACCGGAGAAAAGTTTAACATTGACCCTATGGGAAAAGCATTAAAGCAGCATTTTCTTAGGGAATATTAGATCAAACAAAACGAAACTTCGTGAATATATAACATGGCATAAGTCAATGCTGCAGCTGTTGTTGGAATTTTCGAAATGAACACCGTAACCATGGAAACTGCAAAAATGTCCAAAATTTTCAAAATGCCCCAAACTTAATAAAACTTAATATAAATGTTAACTGGCAAGTAAAGATAAGACTTTTGATCTTGGAATTTCCAAAATGGCCGCCGTTACCATGGAAACTGCGAAAATGTAAAAAATTGAAAAAATGCTCAAAATTTCAGGAAATTTTACAGACAGATAGGTTGTGATGTATTTATGTGCATTAACTGTTTACAATTCTAAAAATGGCTGCTGTTTAGTGGCAATGTGGGAAGTGTGCCATCCGATATTGTTGTTCTACGTTTCTTTTTTTCTGTTTTTAATTTTTTATCCATTTTTTTTTGTCCAGCTTATATCTTGGAATTCTATGAACCAATTGTTATGGAACTATACCATAATGTTAACAAACATGTGCAGATTTGCAATCGGGGTATGGCATTTTCAAGATGGCCGCCGTTTCCATGGAAACAGCAAAAAAGTCCAAAAAAGCAATATGCTTCAAAGTTAATGAAACTTCACACAAATATTGACTGGCATATGTAGATGTTCCATTTGATTTTGGAATTTCCAAAATGGCTGCCGTTACCATGGAAACAGCAAGAATGTCAAAATTTTTAAAATGCTTCAATCTCAATGAATCTTTGCAATAATGTTAATTGACATGTGTAGATGCCCTCTTTAACTTTGGAATTTCCAAAATGGCTGCCGTTACCATGGCAATGGGGGACGAGGCTGCCATCCGTTATTGCTAGCAATTACAAATCTAGTTATTATTATTATTATTCCTCTTAACCCTTAAACTGTCCAACGATTTTCTTTGAGGTCTTAAATGATGGAAACTTTATATTTAGTATGATGTTGGGGTACTATCCCTAGGGCTGCATTCGCTATTTTTTATTTGAATTAGGGGTTAACACGGCACTATTTGGGGGGCCGGAAAAAGGGTGGGGTAAATTTTGTTTTTCATTAGATACTGTTTCATCTCAATAGGTAGAACCTTTATGTTTTGTATGATACAATAGACCCATGTCCAGTTGTCCATTCAACATTTTTTATTTAAGCCCGGGTTCTCCTTGGCATAATTTTAGGGGGATCAATTTTTATGGAACATTCTAGAACAATAGTCATGTGATAGTGTTGAATTATTCACTTTATATATAATATGATGATAGATTATTATAGGTGGAACCATTTGAAGATGCAATTAGATTTAGGAATTTTCAAAATGGCCGCCGTTACCATGAAAACTGCAAAAAGTGAAAAATTTCAAAATGCTTCAAACTGAATGAAACTTTACACAAATGTTAACTGCAAAATATTGATGTGATATTTAACTTTGGAATTTTCAAAACTGGCTGCCGTTACCATGGATACCGCAGAACAATGATTCGGGTCCGTTTTGGCAACTTTTGTGCTAGCATCCTACAAAGGATTACATGTTTAAATTGTTTTACATTTGTCATTTCGGGGCCTTTAATAGCTGTCTATGTGGTACGGGTTTTGCTCATTGTTCAAGGCCGGACAGTGACCTATAGTTGTTAACGTCTATGTCATTTGGTCTAGTGGAGAGTTTTCTCATTGTCAGTTATACCACATCTTCTTATTTTTATATCAAACTGCACCCTTAACAATAATATATACTAGTTCAGCGAAATGGACGCCACACTCCGAAACAGACAAATGATCCAAATTATAAAAAAACACAAGATTAACACGGAATTGACTTTGGACAGGTGCAAAAATGTTTAAACCATGTTTTGTGAGATATCAACCTTCCCAATTTACCTCTAGTCAATGAAAGAACAAACAAACACACAGCAATACGCACAGTAACACTCAGTTAAAAAGAAGCCCGATCTCGATTTTAGCATAGGAAACAGAAGAAAGTAAGCAAAATGACAATATGATTAACATAAATTACCAGTGGACTACAAGCAGTTATTGACATGCCAGCTCAATTAAACTAATCGAAAGATTATGTCTTCATCATATGAAAATCAACCACCATTCCGTTAGAGGTTTGGTATCCATGCCATCATAAATTTACGAGATGAACATAAACCGTATCTTGCCAACAACTGGTTTTAGAACAAAAAGTAACATAAAAAAAAAATACCGAACTCCGAGGAATAAATTGTTTATTTTCTAATGCAAAGACCCTATGAGTGAATCAATATTACTTCCAAAAATGCCTTCTTTAATGACTTGACACAGTATCGTAACTATATCCTTTGAGAATAAGTTTGTTTAAAGATTTGGTTAGCTTTTGATGTGAATGACGACATTTTTTGTGCTTTATATATATTATAAAAGATGGAATTGAATTACCTGAACGTATAAAATGTCTACAAGTTGATTTATAATTTACGAATGATGCCCTTGTATCGATGATAAAATTTGGTTAATATTTAAAACAAGTAAGATTATTTTCGCTATTTGACCTTTTACACATAGCAAAACAAAAAGAAAACAAAGAATGCTCACATTATCTTAGGCAAGTTTAAAGTGTTTTTATTACAAAGACCTAGGTGCCATACTTGAAATCTAAAGGAAAGGAAATATAACACAAAATTACCAAACTTGTTTAAAAGTTAAATCGCTTTTTCAATTTAAAAAATGTTGATATACACGTTTGACAATAGTAACAATGGTTGTTCTTTTGTAAATACTGTTTAGGTATACGTTTGGAAAGCCAGTGGAAGGGGACGCAGAAGTGACAATTAAACGAAGTTGGTCGACTGAAAAACAGATTGTGAAGAAATTTAAGGTTTATTTATCGCATATAGTTTTTAAATCTAGTACATTGTTTGCAAAGTTAGATTTAACTTTATACACTTAAACATAAACATTTTCTTATAATATGAGCTTACATATAGAATTTTGGGGATATAAGCTATAGAGTTGCAACTGATCATGAACATTACAGAAAACAAAAGAGACATCTATAGGTCGGAATGAGTAAACAATAACACATTGTTGATGTAATTATGGACAAAAATGCTGGAGCAAAAGTATTCATTTCAATGAATTGAGCATTACCCGGTCAAAAAAGATAAATAACAGTTATATCAGTGTGTTTTAGCGGTGATGTTTTAACTCAAAATCTTTCAACGTTTATAGTTATGTTAACATCTTATTATCAGATTTGGTTGTTTTATAAATTCAAGTTTTGTCATTTAGCTCTTCAAATTAAAAAGTCTTGATATTCATCCTTGGCTTTCTTTTGTGGAGTTTGAGCATATCTATTGAATATAAAACCAGAAAAGAGGTTCGGACTCACTATTTATATTACAAAGTGTTATTGTTATTTAGCATCAATCATTTTTACACCAATCATTCAGAAATATTGTAAAATAAGTGTTACTTTGTAGATAAAAGGAAAGGCAACGGTCCGGGTTTTAATGAGTGAAGTGGCTCCTACGCTTGGAACTTCCATAGAGGTCATAGCTAAAGTAACTGAATCCATTACTGGTGTTTCAGCCGAGGACAAAGGCTCTGTTCAAATTTATGATACACCAGAAAAACTCAATTTCTCTCCTCGGATGCCTTCTGTATTCAAACCAAATATGGAATATGCCATAATTGTAAGTATATATTGCTATCGACACGAATAAAGTTTGAAAAAGTCCAACATATGTTTTAATACAGTTTAGTTTTAAAAAAAAATGAAGTGCAACCCTAACATTCCTTGAAAAAATTTTCACGTTGTGATGGTTCCAGTTTAACTTATAAATGTTGGTATTTTCTATATAACTGTTATACTAACATTTATTCAAATAGAAAACTCTTGAAAAACACTTTTTCTCAAAACAAAATTTATTTATCAGAATCATAGCCTTAAAGAAATCACTGCATATACTCTTACTTTCCTTTTATAGTACATTTTATACCCCCACCCCTTGTCTCAATGTTTTGGGAATTTGAAAACAAGACTTTAATTATTGTCAGCTTACCCTATTTGCATGTTTTCTGACATGAAATGTCTAGAACCTGTTTGAAACTATTCTGATAACAAATTGAAAGCATTTCAGAATACTATAAATCTAAAGTTTCGTAGTGAATCATTCCGACATTCAAGATTATCTAAAGTATCCAATCTTGCCTCTGTCTCCAATCCACATCTTACTGTTTGCCTATTTATCAATAAAAGTTCACTATTTCTGCATTAAATGGTCAGTTTAGAAATCTTGTCACAACAATATCATCTCTAACCATGTATATAACATAATTTAGCTAATATATGAACTAGATGTGTTTAAACAAAGCCATATTTGCAAAAGTTGTATCAATGAAGTAACCAGTCTGATGTATCAATTCACTAAAAGTTTTATAGAACTGACTGCTTACATCTGTTTTTTGCATAACTTCCAAGCACAGTTATTGATTTCTATACAAAAGACCTTTATGATAATAAAGTCATAGCATTTACAGATTAAATTATCTGTTTTATGACCCAGGGGTTGGCATTTTTCTCTGTTTTGTTGCCCCTGGGCCTCAAATTTGCTAAATAATTCTGCTTTTTCTGTGAATATGGAATAATTAGTACATATTTAGGATAGAACACACTATTGTTAGTTGTATTGAAGTATTTTTGTGTGTCTAGCTAGGTAGGTCACAAAAAAAAGGACATTCAGGTATTACGGCTTACGTTTGGGTTATCGAAAGGACAAGAATACCGCAACAACAAAAATCACCAAGGAATTATGAGTTTCAATGACTTGGAAGAGTACATATAAGCACTATTAAACAATTCAAATTCCAAATATGCATATATTATGAATCGACTTTGCATTCAGAGCTTTAAGTAAATAAAGGCAAAAGTAGTGTTCAAAAGTCATAAATCGATTGAGAAAAAACATATCCGGGTTACAAACCAAAACCGAGGGAAGCACTTCAACTATAAGAGGAAAACAAAGGAACAACAGGAACACCGAAGTGCAACAAAAACAAACGCCAACACACATAGAAACGAACTATTTGATAACAACTGCCATATTCCTGACTTGGTACAGGACATTTTAAGAAAAAATGGTGGGTTGAACCTGGTTTAATGGCATGCCAAACCTCCCGCTTTATGACAATGTTAAAAAATATCGCTAAAACACTACGTGACAGAAATACAGCACAAACACACGCGAGAACAATCATAACAGAGAAACGAACAAACAAATAATTTAATAGTCGACACAACATGCAAACCGCAGAACAACAACGAACATATTCCATCAACGACAAACACCATAGGATATCAAAAACAGTGACTCGCTTATTAACTAAAAAACTAACATGCAATTTCGAACTTTATACCATTATTTTACAATATTCGTCAAAACAATTTTCATGACAATGATGGTATGGAAAGGCAATTTTGTAATTATTTGGAATACAAACGATAAGACATAACAGATTATCCAACCAAAACCATAACAGAAACATCAAAAATAAATCCACGAATGTTGAATGTACAAAACGCCGAGACACGCAGCACCTCAATGCAAATTCACATTCAGTATAACAGTTATATTCGGGAATAGTTCACGTTCGGTACTTTGCAGACATACGACTTAGATGTTAAACCACAATCTTAGACGTGGTAAAAATGTCAATAGTTAGTTTAGATACAGACACATCGTATAGATCAACCAAATCGTGATGCTGTCCATAAAATTTACGGAGTGTCCGTTTTAATCTTTTCTCCTCATGACTTTGTTGGAGCAGTTTCTGCGTAATCACACTCCTGTATATGAAGTCAGTATAGTGTGAACATGCACGAGTATAACGTATCAATTGAGATATGTACACACTATACGACGGAGCATAGGGTATGTTACTGCAGAGAAATGGGAAATTGATAATTGGAAAGTTGAAATCATCCCGTTTGGCATAGATTTTAGTGTGAAGTCGTCAATCTGTGTATATATTGAGGAAAAGATCAAGGTATGAAGAAGTCCTTTTTGTATCAGTAGTATCCTTAAATTCAAGTTCACTGGGATATATGAGATGCAAGTACTGACTGAAATATGGATTATTCAGTGATAGGACATCATAAATATATCTGAAAGTAAAATTAAAGAACTTTGCAAGGTGCCTTTTCTTTTTGTCTTATAGAAGGTTCTGAATAAATTTCGCTTCATACGAGTACAAAAACAAGTCGGTCAGAAGGGGTGCACCATTAGAACCGACTGTCTGTTAAAATATCAATCCTCCAAACTCAACAAATATATTGTCGATTAAAAAGTCCAGCATTTTGATAATATCATCTTCACTGTATTTTCTGAAAGAATCAGTATGGTTCTTCACAAAATAAGAATTATTTTAACCCAAAACAAGAAATGCATATCTTCGATTCCCATTTTTATAGAAAAAGCTCTGTTTAATGAAATGGTGAAGTCGATCTTTCAATTGAGCATCGGGAATAGTAGTGTAAAGCGTAGAAAAATCAAAGGTTTTAATGTTGCTGCTAAATTGCAGAGATTGTGATCTGAGATTTAGCAGTAGATCTTTAGAATTTTCGAGAATCCACTTCTGGTTGACACCACTGGTTGAATATATCTCATCACAATATTTTTGAAGGCAATCTTTTACTGTAGAAAGAATAGTAGTCAACACTTTAGAAAGGTGTTTAGTCGAACATCTTTATGATCCAGCTACATATAGTTCTTTATACGGAGTTTTATGAAGTTTTGGTATCCAATATAATGACGGTAGATTTTCTTCGTTTTCTTTGATGTTAATACCAAATGAGAGAAGAAAAAATTGGTGATTTTGTAAAATTTCATCCTTTGTAAATGATGTTAAAGAATATGTAGGATTACCAGTTGTGCTTTTTATTCCAAGCTCTTTTGTGAGGCATTGCAAATAATGGTTTTTACATACGAAGACAATATTATTGGAGGCTTTATCTGCTGGAACAACGACATATTTGTCATGCAAAGAGGATAAAGCATCCACAACCTCCGGGTTCTTAAATGGGTTAGAAACCCTTGTGCTCATAGTACATCGTAGTTTCTGAATGCGCTTCTGATTGCATCATCAAATAGCTTTGATCCATTCAATGTGTCCACTTTTGGTTCGTCTGGTTCGCGCTTTACCCATTTTCTAGCATAGTCTTCAACTGCATCCATCAGTAACCTGAAGTTCTTTTTCCAGTTGATGGGCTGGGGAATTCTGTATTTTGGTCCCTTGGCTAACAACTCTCTTAGTTGTTCATTGGTAACGATGCCAAGGTCGCCAGTAATAACATGACCAGCTGGACTATAATTGTATTTGACGATGCACATGAGCAATCCGGAGGTTTGGATTTCACATCTTTGAGGTTAAAGGCCTCTAAAACCTTCTTATGGTTGAAAATCTTGGATGCAATAGACTTGGTGTAAGTATATGAAATGACAGGTGTAGCTTTATATTTGAAGTAATCAGGTATAGTTTTTTGTACAGATTTCCGGTGTAAATATTGCTAATATTGATAGCATCTAAACCTTTATTGGCGAATTCTACTTAAAAAAATGACGTTTTTCCCCATTTTGGAAGTAGTTGTTACGGGTTTGAATAGTCTATGGTTAGCAATGTCCATGATAATTGAAACTAATCTATACAAAACAGAATTAGAATCAATGACGGAGGTATTTTGGGTCTCTTGAAATAGTAAATAAAGTTTAGATAATGGAATGGAGTATAATTTAGTTCTGATATGGTGAATGCCTAAAGGTTTTTGAACAGACGATAACAGACTATCAATTGTCACGGTGTGAACAGCAGGTGGTGTATAATTTCTGTGACCGTGACTTCTATTTCGTCAGGCAGAAGTGTTAAATAATTGTGATTTATTGACAGTACTACACCTGGGACTAGACAAAATACCTACACCATCAATTTTGTCATTGGATCCATAGGGAATGGATGTTCCCAACTCTCTTATCCAAAAGTCTTCTCTTTGTAGACGATATGGTGTACTCAATATTGGGTCATTTGTTGAATGATATATTTTTTCTATAATCCGGACTTTCATTGGAACAATAGAATGGTCAGGCTGATTAAAATGTTTATAGAGACATTTGTTGTTATTAGGATCATTAACATTAGACCGATGGTGAATTCAACTCCCTTTACGGCTAAAACTGTGCCACTTTTACTATGAAGTTTCGTTAATGAATTAATCCTAGAATGGAAAGTTGATACGCACTACTATTTTATTCAAAGGTCAAACATAGGGCTGTGCGGCATATTTTCAACATTTATATGCCCCGAACTTCTAGGAGTTAAAACTTATACTAAAATTTTGCACTTCCCCTTTCTACACTTTGGGTCTTCCTCAGAATTCAATTTCATCGCTATCATGTGCATTTATACTGGTAACATTCCCAAGTTATGTCTCTATGAGATGAAACACAGAGATCATATCTGGGAACCAGTACGTAAACAAGGAATCTGATTACAGTAGTTGTCGTCTGTTTATGTAGTTCATACGTGTTTCTCGTTTCTCGTTTTTATATAGATAAAACCGTTGGTTTTTCCGTTTGAATGGTTTTACACTAGTAATTTTTTAGGACCCTTTATAGCTTGCTGTTTGGTGTGAGCCAATGCTCCGTGTTGAAGGCCGTACCTTGACCTATAATGGTTTACTTTTATAAATTGTAACTTGGATGGAGAGTTGTCTCATTGGCACTCATACCACATCTTCCTATATCTATAAAACAAAATATCTATGAATATTGAATATCTCCCCAAAAGAGGCGTTGTTTGTGAAACAGCTGTATTTACAAAGTGCAACCTATAGTCATAGTGCTTTATTTTATCCTCAAATTACTGTATTCAAATACCAATAGTGGTAGGTTTATATCCATTATTTGTAGGATTGCTTTCTCATTGACGTAATTTCTTCATATTCTTTTATTCATAATCATAAATTTTTATAAAGTCTTTAGATTTGTTTATATTACATGTTATTCTATGAACATGATTTTAGTTACGGGCAACACAACATGATGACAGTCCTATAAAGCCACCGTTAGGTATGGTGAACATGACAGTGACGTATTATGTACCCGTGATCACAGAAAAACAAAACGTTAGACCTGAATCATCTGGTAGTGGTGGTCAAGTCATGCCTATTGGACAAATGCAACAACCTGAAACTAGAGATGAAGAAAAAGTCTTGTTGTCAAGGCTTATACGAATACCTGAATCAGGAATAATTGTTTTATCAGCAAACTTTCCGAGAGCGGCCAAAAATGGAAATATAAGGGTAATTTGAAATATATAAGAGATAAAATATACATATAAGTGAATTTCATTTATAGAAGACTGTTACGTGTATACTGCACGAACGGGCAATTGCCATTCTACGAAAAAGGTTAATCACCAAAATGTTTATGTGACATGTTACCTTTTTATTGTACTATACCAATAACAAAATGATTAGAACATTATGTTAACTTAACAATAGCGTAATTTGAACCTTTGCTTTAATTTGTGACATCATGCCGCTTGAACTGTCTTTGTTAACTAGGCTTGTATTCGTCGATTAATATCTCTGCTTCATATTTGGCTGTTACACGAAAGTGCTTAAATGTTTACAATATAGTCACATTGATATCATGTTATCAGACCCGTCAAGATATTTGACAACGAAACGACTGAGATATAAGATTTCAATTACATATATTCATATACACAGTTGAAGACGAATTTTACGCGACTGTCATACAAGTGAGCGGATTAACTTGTTATAAAACTAGGTTAAATCCGCCATTTTCTACATAAGAAGATACCTGCACCAAGTCGAGAATATGACAGTTGTTTTCCATTCGTTTGATGTTTTTGAGATTTTTATGTTGCCATTTGATAAGGGACTCTTCGTTTTGAATTTTTATTATTTTACTTTTTACCAAAATTACATGGAATTAGACCGGCAACTTTGGCGAATTCGATAAAACAGCGATTATATAGAAGTTATAGCGAGAAATGAAGGGACACGGATTAATTTAGAGAAACTCAGATACCAGTAGATTAAAGGTCTAACTTTTATTGTTAACGAACTTACAAATTCGTTACCCGAATGTACAAATGTACACTACGGATTTATCAATAGTACGTGACTGTATGGCTTAGATGTTTAGAGACACGGTGAAATAAATGAGATTATGAGTGTGTTGTAGAAGTCATATTCATGATATGAGCCATGTTTGATACCAAACGTTTTAATATTAGACAAGTCATTTTATATATAAAATAGTTCACTATAAACAAAAGTGGCCATCCAAAAGACCCAATAAAGTGTTCAAAGCAGAATAAAACCTAAAAATGACAAAACAAAATAATAATGTACATTATAAATTAAAGATATTAGAAACTGCTTAAAACATGCAAGCAAAATGTATTGCATATACTATTTATATATTATTGGCCTATTATTTATGCATTTATCAATGGGTTTTCAGTCGGTAACTTGATTATTAAAAATTTTCAGAATAAGAGTGTATTATGCAAATAAGATGAATTAAATTAAAAACTGAAGTGAAATGAGTGCATTACGTTTCGTATTTGTAAATATGTGCTTCAAGAAGGTCTAAGTCATCGATCGTGGCGTAAGTATACCTTCATTTAAAGAATTATTGAGCTGTGGTCTAACAGTTGTTTTTTTCATTCGTTTGATGTGTTTGAGCTTTTGATTTTGCCATTTGTTTAGGGACTTTCCGTTTCGAATTTTTCTTGGAGTTCGGTATTTATGTTATTTTTTTTTTACTTTTTTCCTATATCAAAGTTTGCAAACTTAAAACCTTTTACGTTTTATTGTGCTGCACATTAGTACATCATATCATCCATCACATATCTAGGTAGCTAAGTTGGAGTTTGTAGTTAAGAAAGAGACGTCAAACAAAAACAAAAGCAAAACGAAAATAACTGAATACTTTTGTGATTTTTCCGTATCCTGGTGTAAACTTTGTCTTGCTGAATTTCTCATTTGTTTAACAGCAGTCACCTATTTATGTATATATATATATAATATAGTTTAAATCATTACTTACAGGCGTTCTATCGTGGTGCCAGTGCAAATAAACGTGTTAATCGAGCGGAATCCCCTAGCAGAAACTACATTCAGGTTTCTGTTAGGAACAATAAAGCTGCAAAGGTGTGTATTGAAATAAATTGAACAAATGCAAATTAATAAAGAACGCCTTTATTGATGTTTTTCATATCAAAGTCAATGTCACAGTAAAGGTTTCAACATGGAAAAAAATCACCTCACTGCAAGTTCAAGATGAACACAAGCACGCTTTTGAACTTGATGAGGAAAAAGCTATATGTGTACATTCAAGAACGAAGCTATGGGGTGGTATAAATTGATGATAAATCAAATCTTGCAAAGATATCTTACAATTTATTCCAACAAAATCTTGAATTATATAACTTATCGAATTATGATATCACATTTCAAAGAAATTATGATATCACTTTAACGTAAAAACAATGATCTTTCAATAAGATGATTAAATAAGTTAATTACTTATACACTCAATTTCATGAATTTTGTAAGATCAAAAGTATTGCAATTGTTTTGCGCAGATGATGGTTTGTCCTTAATACATTTTGTTGTCACTATACTAAGAATATATCAATTGTGGTTAATTGATCAAATTTAAACAGAATTTAAAAACGAAAATTCATTCTAGTCATGCTATCACGGAAAGTTGTATGTATTTACAAATATGATTCTTGTTTAGCCAGGGGAGTATTTACCACTACTTGTGAAAGTCACAGAATCAATTCAATACTGTAGTTATAAAGTGAGTATTCCTTGTAAAATAACATTACATTTTAAGAAATAAAACAGAACCTAATAGAACATACACTTCTCAATCAACATGTGCATGCTTATCAACAATTCTTTTGAATTACAGGCAAGAGTAGTTTGTCGATATTCAAATGATATAAATCTATTAGGAAGATACAAATCAAATAAAAACAAAACAAAAACTGAGGAACGCATTAACTTGTTCAAACTTTTTCAGAATTTAAGATCTATAACAGACTGTCAATATTTCAAATAGGTCTCACGAATTGATTAATTTCTTTGTTTAACCGTGCAACATGTTTTATGTGCCTTTTCCTAGTGAGGAGATTGTAATTCAGTGACTGTCTTTGGTCGCTTTTATTTTTTTCTTTTGTAGAAAATCCGACTTGACTTTTTCGTTTTAATAGCTTCACTTTTTGTCGTTTCTGGGTCTTTTATAGATCACTATACTGTATCGGTTTGCTTATTGTTGGAGCTCGTACGGTAACCTTAAGTTGCTTACATATACCTCATTTGGCCTGTTATGAATAGTTGTTTTATTTTGAAATTATATCACATATTCTCATTTTTATTTTGCACGCTGTCAGATTTTCAAAAGAGGGTAAAGATACCAAAGGGATATTTAAAATCATATGTAAAAAAACAAACTGGCAAAGCTATGGCAAATAAAAAAAACCACGCAAAAACCAACAGTAAACAAAACACAAAAAATTTGTGTCGATGATCGATTATGAAGTGATAATTTGTCATCTATTCCTCGTGAAGGGGTAGTTTTTGAGTTGAATATGTTATCTATAATTATAGTATGAAACACAATAAACCTTATTGGACGACAGAAGTACTTAAAATCTCTTTTTTTAAATTCATTTCTTTGAAGCAATACTCATTTAAGTACAATTCTTAATTTCTACTGTAGTTTAAACGTCAATTAAAAATCTTAATACGTAAGAATTAGAACTTTTTTTTTTTTCGTTGACAGGTATTTTCGAAAGGATCCCTTGTAACACAGGGTAGATTTACAATGACACAAGAAAAACAGCGAAACCAAAGACTGATGATAACATATGGAATGGTTCCTCAAGCCAAGTTATTGGTATATTATGCCAGACGACAAGATGGTGAAATTGTGGCTGATGCTATCAGCATACCTATTGAAGACATATTTGACAATGCAGTGGGTATTTTTAAGGTTATGATTGATATAACAGTCTTTTTTGTATCAAAGTTGATGCTATTTTGTGTAAATTATCATTGAGTATGAAAACTTGTTTCTGTTGAACAGAGTTTAATATTTTTGGGTCCATATTTAACGATTCATAAATAAACAAACCATCTTCTTTATCTAAATAAACGGTGATTGCAGAAGTCTTCACAGATACTAAATTCATAAATTAGTACTCCAAAGAAGCATTTTTAAATAAAAAATACCAGTGGCGCTAAAATCAAACAACTAGCTGACCTTATCAAAGTTGGAAATCTAGAAATATATTTGTTCATTTTTTAAAACTGTTTGATTTTGTTTTTGTTTAATTGACCGGATAAAATGATTGCATTACAATTGTGTTCCTTTATTTACCTTTACACCCATGTATTGTTATAGGACGGGTTTTTATGTGCATAGAGAATTCTGTTCCGTTCCTACTATCATACGCCCTTGATAATGAGTTAAGTTTCAGAATGATTATTCAAAATACTACTAACAAGAATGTCATATCTATCTTTTAATTTTGATATTTTAAAGGTGTCTTTGAAATTTAACAAGAAAACAGCAACACCAGGAGAAGAAGTAAGCCTGCAAGTGACGGCTGATCAAAAGTCCCTAGTGAATGTTCTGGCTGTTGATAAGAGCGTTCTTTTACTGAAATCAGGAAACGACATCACAACACAAGATGTAAGTTGAATGCAGCTTCAATAAATATGTTTCGAAATTTCTCGCTCATTTATTGATTGTTAACGACCGCACATTTTATTGAGCTATATATTGTATCATTAATGCTACATATTTAATCCTTATGTTATCACCTTGAAAGGTTTTTAATGAGCTCCAAAGATATAACAACTTTGGTAATTTGCCACGATTTGGTGGATGGGACTCCTGGATACCTACTCCTGTAAACGACAGGGATGCATTTTCCGTTTTCCAGGTGAGTCTGCACAAATGACAAAATTGCTCGTGTTTAAAAACAAATTCACACACATTTAGAAAAGGGGGAGTTGGTAAAGAAAAGATAACCTTGCATGTTAAACAACTGTTTGGCGATTCTAAATCCTTTACAAATTTACCAAATGAACACTAGTAATATATCGATCGGTATTTGTACAATTTTAACCTTCATGGCAATTAAATTATGGAAAAGAGAGGCAAAAAATACCAAAGGGAAATTCAAACTCATAAGTCGAAAGAAAACTGACATCGCCATGGCTAAAAAAGAAAAAGACCAACTGCATTTTCGCGACTTAGTGACTTAGTGAAGAAACTCCAATCATCACAATGAACACAACTTTCTAAATACGCCAAGTCTCGTGCAATTAATCATCAAATTAATATGCATGCACCGGAACAGCAGGTCTGGATGTTGTAATATTATCAATCTTTCAGACTACAACCGTTTGAAATTTTAACTCGCCTATGTTATGACCACAAGTGTTTTAAAAATTACTTACTGTTGCGAATGTGTGGTGAATGTGTTCTTTAATATATTGGAATAAGTAAATGATGTCTGATTGTCAAAATATAACTATCCATCAAAGCCTGAATGACATAGTATAAGAAATGTAAGGTCGCCGTCGGCTTTTATCATTGAGCAAAATCACACTGTAGCGTAAGCTATAAAAGGTACTGACATAGAAAAAGATAAAAATGATTAACTAAACCAAAGGACTGATTTACGCTTAAACAACAAACGAGAAGAAAATACGAAGAAAAGCAACAACGACAACCACTGAATTACTGGCTCATGATATTCCAATTGAACATTTCTATTAAAAGTGGCTTCTGCCTTTCATTGAACTTTTACTGATATTTTATAGGGAGCAGGTGTTTATGTTTTGACTGATATTTAAAGGGTGCAGGTGTTTATGTTTTGACTGATATTTTATAGGGAGCAGGTGTTTATGTTTTGACTGATATTTTATAGGGAGCAGGTGTTTATGTTTTGACTGATATTTTATAGGAAGCAGGTGTTAATGTTATGACTGATATTTTATAGGGAGCAGGTGTTTATGTTTTGACTGATATTTTATAGGGAGCAGGTGTTTATGTTTTGACTGATATTTTATAGGGAGCTGGTGTTTATGTTTTGACTGATGCAGTATTGTTTCAATATACACATCCGAGTAAGTAATTGTATGTGTTGCAATGTAATTTCTGAATAACTTATTATCATTATTCTAATGTACGCTATGTTTTTTGTTAACAAGTGTTTATAAGATTCCTAATATTCTTAAATCTTTACCAAAAAACGTACATATTTCATTTTCTTTGTTTTACCCTATATCAGAATTTATACCCAACGATAATGTTAACAGAGAAATCATAATATTTAAATTATTGTAGAATATATACGAAAAGAAATCAACATTTATTTGATATTTTGAATTAGCAATTTTCAAGAATATGCATTGTAAAAATGTCACGTACATTTAAATAATATTCGATAATCGCAACACAACCATCGTATTTCAATCAAACTACTGGACAAAGGAAAAAAGATCCTTCGTTATTTAGTGAGCCACAATTGATTGCAGGAACAAAATTATTACTGCTTCACTTTCTTTTACATTTTTTTTATCCTTTCCGACTCTGACTTATTACCCTAAACATTTTTTACTACTACTTGGTTGTTGCAGCTTATGATTGATTTTCAGTTCCCGTTGATAATATTCACCAAGTAGCGGTTCACACGATTCAGACCATAAAACTATTTTCTGCAAAAGACAAGATAAAAGTTATGTTTCGTCCCCTGCAACTGCTAAACTTATGTAAATTGCAATCCTTAAAAAAAGATAGATTTTATAGATAGATTAATGTCATGACATCGATTGGTTACTTCATTGCGCAAATGTCATTTGATATATCAAAAACAATCTCAATATTGAGATATTTGACTTGTGATGGTCAATTCTAAACGGAACGTTTAAAACAATTTAATATGAGTAGCAGCCTCACCCATTCCATCTTTTTATCAGGCAATTGGTAGTAAAGAGTTGATGATAATGCTGTTTCTTTTTTCTAAATGTAAATTAATATGAGAGTGCTTTTACAACTTTTTCAGTTTTGCCAGAAATTGAAACCTTGTCTGTTTGTAAGATAGAATAAAAAATTATTAATTACAATATTTGACAGATTAATCTCTTCTGAAATTCGATTGTTTTTGTTTGGCTTTTCAAACTTTTGATATCCAGTGAACATCTTCAAAAGGATATTAATTTCCTTTTAAATGTTTCATTATTCATTCACATTTTACTTTTCATATATTTTGTTTTTTAATCTAAGATGAGATTTTGTGTTGTTTTTTTTCCATCGCATTTTTCAATCTACAAATAAAAACGTCTTAAAGTTGGTATTGCACTTTAAGTGAGCATGCATTTTCAAATCCATCGCTCCTCAGCTTCCTGTTTAACGAATGCTTATATTTTCTTAAAATAATCTATGCAATTTTCCTCACATTCTTTAAGGAACTACAGAAACGAACTTCTTAAAATGTGTAATACGCCTTCATGTGAACACGTTATATCGTGTGATGAATCATCATATACAATGCTCTTCACCTTCCTGTCTACTGGATACTAAGAGCGGGGTATCATTATTGAGAAATAGCTCACAGTTCTGATGAAGCTACATCTAAAAAAGTGTTTATTTCATTTATAGCCCTGGGTCAATACCGCTTCTTCTTGATCGATCTACCTCCGATGGTATCATCAGCTTAGTAGTCAGTGCTTCAGTAATGACACGATTTATAACATACACGTATTTAAAATTCACCGTTCATAAATTTATTAGATACTTGAAAACTAAGGTTCCAACTTCCCCAAGCATAGTCGACCTTAGATGATTTTAAGTATTCTGTATTGCGGCCAAATAGCTCATTGCAACGTTTTACGCATCCTTGGCTTTTAAATGTTTTTGAGCTTTCCTGATGAAGGTAAATCAATAATAGAGCTTCGGACGCACGAATCTAAGAGCGTGTGTATTTCATGTGCTTGTTATTTACAATACAGAAAAAAAGTCAAATAACATTAGATATTGCATCAAATACTTAGGCTTTTCTCGTGATAATATGATGATGTCGGCTATGTCTGGTGGCTTTAGTGGTAATGGTGCTTTGGCTGGGGGCGGAGGTGGGCTGATGTCGCCCACACGAACAAGAAAAAATTTTCCCGAGACATGGCTTTGGGTTGACAGAACAACAGGGTAAGATTATACTTTTTGCTCTATATTTTAATAATATATTGCCTGATAATTGTGTGTTATAAAATTTAGGAATTCTTGAGCTTGGATAATTCTGTTTAAATCAACGCAGAACAGCTGAGAGTATATCCAATTATTTATTTATTTCTCAAAACTATTGTTAACCTACTTAACAAATAGAAGAGTTGGTTCATGATATTGCGTAACATGAACGTGATATTGTTTACATGGTAAACTTTTTACATGTTGCATTTTTTTTTTAGAATGTCTGAAAGTATAAAAAAACACTATTGTACACTATTTATATTTTAAACAGTCAAGAGGAACAAAATGACATATTGGTTATACATTCATAATTCAGTAACACAAGGACGCACCAAGAATGCGTCGCAATATACGGTTTCCAACAAAATACAACTGTATTTAGATATATCAAGCCGAGTATAGAAAACAATCACACTAGAAATTTGAATTTCGTTGTTTTAATTTTAACTTTCATTGAAAAATGTAAAATCACAAAAATACTGAAGTCCCAAATCAAACGGCAAAATCAAAAGTTCTAACACATCAAACGAATGGATAACAACTGTCATATTCCTGACTTGGTACAGGCATTTTCTTATGTAGAAAATGGTGGATTGAACCTGGTTTTATAGCTAGCTAAACCTCTCACTTGTATGACAGTCGCTTCAAATTCCATTATATTGACAACGATGCGTGAACAAAACAAACAAACACAATAGGTAAAAATGTCAAAAATAGGAGTACAGCAGTCAACATTGTGTTATCATCTTAATCACTATAATAACAAACAAATGTAACGAAGAAGCACAAAAAGGCATACATCAAATTTAACATCCTCATTTTGCTTATATTATACGATTTTATTTATCTATGTAAAATCCACCCATAAAGGATGGAAGGTTTTAAGTACTGGCGTAAAATCGCGCGTTTGAAATTCGCACAGGTAGACATAAAATAATTTTGTCGTTCAAAAGACCATTAGGTTTTATCAAGATATATTTAAATAATAAATTTGTCGTGAAAACATCTCAAACCGATACAAGGAAACATTATTGAGACTTGCCAACATTAACGGTACACACTTTGATAGTTTGTCTGTATTTTATAATATGCTACTGAATATGACAGTTGTTTTCCATTCGTTTGATGTGTTGAGCTTTTGATTTTGCCATTTGATAACGAATTCTCCGATTTGAATTTTCCTGGGTGTTCGGTATTTTTGTTTTTATACTTTCTGCTATTAGAAAAGAAGTTAACTTTAAATCTGTGGTTTTATTGTTTGATTGTTTTGTCTTTATGTATTACCTGTGAATTTGATATATTTTAGTTACAAATTTTGGGTTAAATAAATCAAATACAATGTATTATTAGAGATTTGTTATGGTATTGATCGCTTAAATTTAATTCTTCAGTAAATACGGTTGTATATTTAGCCCAGTAGCTATACTTTGTTATATTTGTACTGGCATGAAAATACTGACTTCTTTTATTGAAAGGTTCTGTTTAAAATTGTATCTCCCTCATGAATAGCTCTGTTCCCATGTCTGTGTCTTTACTTGTTTGGTTTTATCAGCTCATCAATATTTGTATTTGGTTTTTGATTTTCAAATAGTTTGCCATGAACATCACTAAAGAGACAATAATTGTCCAAATGAGAATCTCTGCAACAAATCGGTACCGTTATTGTTGTTTCTCCCTACAATCGTATTTACATCATGAAACTTTAAGGCATGCTCAGGTATTTATTCAAGTTTGTTAAGTAAGCATACACGCTGCATATTTTCAAATTTCAATTCAAAGACGATATTTGCCTTATTTTCAATTTCAAAAAATGCAATAACATTAGGCAGATTACTTTCTCATTATAATAAATATTAAAAAAATTGGTTAATGAATTTACAATTTTGTGCTTATATGCTTAGGAAAGTAGATATGAAAACTCGCTCACTTTCCTTATAAGGTTTCCATTCCCAAATAAAATCAATGGAAGATTACGTATTAGAGGATTAATAAGAATTAGTGGATTCGTAAACGATAATCAACGAGCGTCTTTAGTCGCAAGTTGATTATCGTTTCCGAATCCACTACTTCTTATAAATTCTCTAGCTTAACCCATTTCCAATAAAACGACTGTCTGTTTTACGTTTTGACAATAGATCAACGGAATTTCATAAAGATAACATCGTATTTTGTCTTTTTTGTTCAATAATAGTTAGAATTGATTATATCCACACGGTTCATATCTGTATTAACATAAGTCTAATATAGCTTAAATGGGGTGTTAGCTCCCCATTTGAACTCCAAATTTCATATTGGTAAATAAATATTTTATTTCATGTTAAATCATCACAAATTATTCAAATTGAATAGATTTTGGTATTTATGGTTTATTTAAAAAGACATATACTAATATACAAAATTTATTTAAAAAGTTTTAAAAAGTTTTAAAATTTCAACCACCAAAATTTTGTTGTCTGAGTGTTGGCTACCATTTAGCCGTACTTATCAATAAAGATAAAGATAAAAAGATAAAAAAAAAGCCGTACTAATCCAAGTCTTTAAGGTTAGCGTGATCGTTTAGTCGTTGGTAACAAAAATCATAACGGTTTATTTTATCAAGGACTTGTACAGATATACAATTTATACAATTCCTTGATTTTATAGTGGTTACAACTATTGTGTAATAGCCACAATCGTATAAAGGTTCATTCATTATAACGATGTTAAAAATCGACCAATGTTCAAACCTGACATCCGGAATAAACTTTTTTTTTATGATTTTAAAGAAAACGTTTTATTTATTTTTTCTCTTGTCATTTTTATATTTTTATATTGCTATATAATTATAATCAAGAACTTTCAAATGTAGAACATGATCTTCCTTAAAAAAAATAACACCCAAAATAAAACAAACTAAAATATTTTGAAAAGAACAAGAACAAACCAAGATAGAATATGTATTTCAAAGATTACAGAAGCTAATTATCAATGAGACAGGAATCCAGTTTATTTACATGTATTGACATTTAAGCGCTTCAAGAGTTTGATTCAAACATTGATTTATGTCAGCACTCGTGGTATAGTGGTATCATGCATAGACTGAAGACCGTAATGATTTACGATGAAAATACGCGCGAGTTCGAACCCTTCATACAAAACTCGTTTTTTGAGAGGATAAAATATCGTAAGTTAAAAGTCAAAAGTTATAATATAAGTAATCTTATGTCAACACAGTGGTCAGTGGATTCTTAAAAAATAATCTACAGTAAGAACAATAGACTGACGTCAGAGAAATGGGTAAACTGTACCATATTCAAAAAATTAAACCGTGAAACTAATTAGAATCTATAGCAATATAAAAAAACGTACTATACATTATACGGAAGCCGCAGAGTAAGATGAAATAGTTGCATATTAACCATTGGTTTGGTTCTAAACTTTAAGCTCTGATGGAACAGCTACTATCAAGACGACAGCACCTGATACAATTACAGAATGGGTGGCGTCAGCGTTTGCTGTAAATCCTGTTTCGGGTCTTGGTGTGGCAGCACAAACGGCAAACGTAAATATCAATTCATTTATTGTATTCATATAATAAATTGTTCAATTTTGTTGCCTATTTTGAAAAGGAATTGTTTTTGTTACAATTACTGTTTATACGACATATTAGACCAAATCAAATTCAATATGAAAATGCTTTAGACTTTATATGTAATATTTTTTCGTTTTAGTTGACGACATATCAGAAATTTTTCCTGCGATTTGAACTTCCGTTTTCTGCAATTAGAGGTGAAATTATAATAGTTCAAGCCACTGTCTTTAATTACTTAGACCAGGATCAACAGGTAAAGTGGTTTTCATGAAATATCAATTTTGGTAAAAATGCATGCAACAAAATCGAAAATTAAAATATCATTTCTTTTATTTATGGTCTTAATCTTGAAAATCACATGAAATAGTTTTTATACCAAAAACTGTTCAACATTTCCAATTATATCATTTATATCAGGATCTGTCATTATTTTAATGAAATATGTAGAAGTTTATCAAGAGCTTACAGCTCCTACTCAGACTTTATAAAATGTCACCAGTGTCTGAGCAAAAAGTTTATGAAACAGGGTTATGTCAAGGAACGTCTCGTCCTTTTTCTAAAAAAAAGTTCATCGGAAGATATCAAGGCCTTGTAAATAAATATTCCGTATCAACTTCACAAATAAGACATGATGGTATTGAAGTATAGATTCTAGGTACTGACGTTGTTTGTCATCTTAATTACGTTTTATATTGTTCTTTTGTTGGTCCTTGTAAATTATTAACCTTTACTGTTTTGTCTATTTTTGGTAATATCGTTTTGGCGTGGCTTGGAACTTAGACAACCCGCCATTGAATTATTGTGCTAAGGTCATTTTTTTGTATTCTTGTCTTTCATTTTTTAGCTTCTGTGCTTTGTCTATATGCCATTTTGTTTTTCTTTGTTGACATATTTGTTTGTTTTTATAGTGATTAAGATCATTACACAATGTTGACTGCTGTACCCCTATTTTTGATAATGGAATTTTATGCGACTGTCATACAAGGGAGAGGTTAAGCTAGCTAACAACCAGGTTCAATCCACCATTTTCTACACAAGAAAATGGCTTTACCAAGTCAGGAATATTACAAATGTAATACATTCGTTTAATGTGTTTGAGCTTTTGATTTTGACATTTGATAAAGGACTTTCCGTTTTGAATTTTCCTTGGAGTTCGGTATTTTGTTATTTTACTTTATACATCAAATAAGCTGTTACAAAAACATTTTTACAAAATCTCATTAAAAAAACATTATTATTAATTAATCAAATGACGACATCAAGCGGCAAATACTAAATGCATATTAAGGATAAGGTTTTGTATAACTTTGACTTTGCTGAGCCGGATTATGAACGTACTAGTGAGGAAGGTAATAGTTCTCACGAAGAAAAGGTTCCAAAGCCCGAATATATCATTCGAAATCCCAGCCGCCGACAAGGTTATACATAGAAGAATCAAATACCGACCATAACTGTTTTTTCATCATTAAACTTTCTTCAACAAACACATTTATAAAAAAAATTAAGTGATAGGAATTGATAAAATTCTGTCGAGTTTACAGGTCTTCAAATATAGGATACTTGTTTTCATGAAAGGAAAGTGTAAAAGCTATGAACGCTTTGTTGAACAACACACGTCTTCGGATGACTCACGATTACAGTATGACATGAAATAATAATTAAATTGTTTGGGAAAGCTTTTAAAAACAAGTTTATACGAATGTATGATACCAATTGCAATGAATATGATATATATATATGAAGAAACATAAACCTGGATCAGGGAAGTTCATGACTAGACGTTTGAGTAGCAAAATATAAAACAAAAATCAAAAGAGAAAGAGAAAGGACAGTCAAAATTGTTTTCTTTAACTATGTATAATGTAGTTTTACCTTTGATACAACTACGTCATATGAAAACCCCTTGCCTGGGGCTTAAACAATTGGCATAACATATTCTGTAAAGCAAGCTATGAAACAAACAAACAAACAAAAACAAACATCCTGACACCAAACAACGACAACGACTGAATTACATTTTCCTTATTTGGGTAAACACTATGTTGAATCTAAATCGTAAACAGATTGCGTGTTTGATCATATAAGCTATAACATATTGATATTGGCTCCAGGACTTTTGTTTTCTAAGATTGAAAAAAAAAACAACATCTCCCAATTTTTTTATATTAAACGTTTCGGGAACAGTGTTTTAGAATATTATTTTTTCATAGATTGTAAAATTACTTTTTTCTAAGTACTTTGTAGAATGATATAAAAGTAAATGAAGATGAAATTTTTGTTAGTTTGATTAACGAAAAAAATGGCATAAACGTTACGACAATCTTAGTTATCTTAGATATCTTGAGAAAGATGAAACCTTACTTATAGTACAAACTTGAGATAATACTATTATAAAAATTTAACTTGCGATGAAATCAGTTTCATTGGATCTAGGCTTATTGCTATTATAACATTTACCAAGTTTCATTTCTGTATTAAATAAGATCAGTCAACTTTATTCATCAGGTATCTGTGAAGCTGTCAAACAATGCTGACTTCAGTTTTGTAGATGGAAATGGAAACAGTTTTAATCCAGGTGGTGATGGTTGGACAAAGGTAAATATACTTTAAATAAAACACTACCTTTAAAAGAATAGCGTTGCAGGAAAGGAAAATACTTTGGTCAAGGACAAACAAAAATATACTACGTTAAACTTAACATAGGTAAAAACAAAGCTTATGCACCTTTTGAATTGTAAACGACATTATCCATTACAGAACTGTGTACAATCGTTGCACTGAACACATCTGGTTTACACTTATGTTACAGAATGTGTCCTTCAAGAATTCCACTGTTTGTTTGCTTTATAGCTAGACAACTAATCAAGAACTTATAATGTAGGTGAAAATGGATTTTGTGTTTTTTATTGTTCTTTAACAAAACGCATCAAAGATCACAGGCTTATAATGTAGTACACCAGACGCGCATTTCATCTACACAAGATACATGAAATAAGTTGGAAAACCAAATCAGTTACGATGTATGAGGACATTGCAAACAAAATAAAGCTAAAATGTTGACCCAAATTTGACGAAGGTCATCTATGCTTGGTGTAGTAAAACATAAGTATTTTGTGTTGATGGTCTGTCATGTCACAACATTAGTGTGGATTACTGGGCTGCTGATATCCTCTTGCAGAAACGCTCTCAGCGGGAGAATCTACCAATTTGTTGACAAAACTCACCACAGTTACAAGGATTACCGTACATGTCTTCTTTGACTCCAACCGACGTTTTATTTACAATCGTTTTTGCTCTGGTAGAACCTTGCCATATTGAACAATTTGGTATTTCTTTTAGATAACTGTATACAAGGTTAACCTTTCAATAGACTGAAAGTCAATTCAATTCGAATTATGAAATAAACATCGTATTTACCTTTAGGCATTATTAATATAATTACTATTTTTATCATTTTTATTATTGATTATAAGATAACAGAAAAAGACAAACGTCTGGGAAATACCAACAAAATCATTGAAAGCGGGAAAGAGGAACACCCAAACAATAGTCTACTACACAATACACATACAATTAAAAATTAAGCAGTTCCAATCCAAAAATACGATAATGGGACTGGCATTTATTTTCAATTTGTATTGTCTCTTTGTGGGAATCAAAGCAAAAGTAAAAATTGAATAGAAAAAGCAGTATACGGCTTGAAATTGTGTGTCTTAAACATTTGTATTTAATATTTACATAGAAAGTGAGGCAAACATCAATCAATAAACTAATCAAACAGTGCCGCCGTGCTAGTGAAAACACGTTTCATATTTATATTATAACCACCTGATTCAATTCTTATCATTAACGATCAAAAATTTGAAAAAAAATATTTGAACTCACTATTATATTTCACCCAGCCAATGTATTTGAACATTATTTAGACACAACACCATGTTGCGCATGTCATGCCAATGATTTTCATGATGATGTTAAGTCGTGTTATTTTTAGAAAAATATTGAAGTTTTGACGTTGATTTTGAAAAAGATTTTTTCTTTATTTTCATGTCAGTCTGTGCTAGTAAAGAAAGACAGTGTTAATTCTGTGTATTTCCCTATTAAACCAACTGCACTTGGTAAAATATTACTGAAGGGAACAGCTAGATCTACTCAGGGTGCAGATGCTGTTGAACGGGAATTTCTCATAGAGGTAAGTTTGCCCGTTAAGCATTTTTTTCGGATTGTTTACTATTGGTTTTCCCTATGCCGGTTGGATTATCCTGAAGACCTATTTAAGAAATAACTTGTTCATGCCATGCTCTATTCTCATTTGATCATAAGGTACTATGCATTATATTTGTCAACCATTTTACACTGAGCGATAGGAAAATTCAGAACTTTCTTCGAATCGGACATATAACAACACGTTCGAAAGGCAGCCATTTTGATTTCATGAAGCACAAAGTTCTAGAAAACCTTCTGTTTCAAGATATGTATATGAATTGAAACATGTAGTTTACTTTTATATGGTTTTATTAATTTCATAGCGAGCAACACCAAGAGAAATGTCAATTTTGGTCTAAAAAAAGTTTTTAAAAAAGAAACAATTGACGTGTCAATTTTAATTATGACGACACACACTTGGACTCCATCTTATTTTCTATTTACAAGACGGCCCTGTTTACAATGCGCAGAAAGCGAGTTAAATTTGCACCTTTCAACGTTACAAATGATCTAGGAAAACTACAGATAGGCAAATTAAAATGAAAACTTTCCAAATATTTCGAAATATAACATTTTGTTTTTCAGTTTGAGTATTATTTTTAAAGGTGAATTTAAGTTGTATTGGTAGTCTCTTATGCTGACAAATATTCTTTATGATGAACAAAACACAAATTTGATTTGCGTGAAGTTAACAACCTTTAATGAATAAATGGGCCAGTTTGGTAGGCGATATTGATATCAAATAAGCACCACTTTAAAACTACAATAAGACTTGCACAAGGTCATTCGTTTCTCAGACATTTTATGACGTATTTACAATTTATCCGTTGGATGAGTACTGATTGATGCTTTATTCTGGGAGATAATGATTTATTTTCTTAGTTGTAATGGGCTATGAACAATCTTTCAAGAACTGCGTCGACTCTTATTTCGATTCTTTGTTCCTAATGTTTTAATGTTAGTTGTTTGATGCCTCGTACCGATCTTTTGAGTTAAGAAAATTGCTACTGATTTTTTAGTTGTTATGCTGTGTTGTTACACCATTTCCAGCTTAGGGGAGAGTTAGCACTCACAAACATGTTAAAACCCCGCCACATTCTTTATGTGCCTGTCCAAAGTGAGTAGCCTATAGTTCAGTGGTTCATGTCTGTCATATCTGTTTTTAGTACATTGATTTGTTATGAATATGGCCGTTGGTTTTCTAGTTTGAATTGTTTCAGGTTTTCATGTCAGGGCCTTTTATAACCGACTACAAGGTATAGGAAAAATAGGTGGGAGTGAAAAAAAAATTCTTAAAGTGGAAGGTGGGAGATAGGGGCGGGAGGTGGGAGAAGGGTACCCCCTGTCCACCCCCTCGTAAATAGTTGTCTCATTTGCACATTCCTCATCTCCTGATGTATATGTAATGTGTGAGATTAACGGTACCAATTTTGCTGCACCTTCGTTTTTGTCTAATCTTATTTATAGTTATCTTGTTGTGACTAATAACGTTTAATTACCTCCTGGTATCCACTTCTTTTTCTTTGTTAAGACAATATTGTTCACAAATACACATATGCTCGTCAAAAACTTCTCCTCTGGTACTATGTGTTGATGAGCAGCAGAATAACATTTATTATTCTCCAAGTTAATGTACATTTAGTACTCATAGTAACCAGTCAACCTAACTTTCCTTCTATATTTCACATTGTAGTTGCATAGTTCCACCAGCCTTTATTTTCTCTGAAGCTTCAATGTGTGTGAGTGTGTGTTAAGACACAAGCATGAATGATATAAATTTACTAGACAGGGCATGTCAATTGAACATTTTCTTTTAAATATATTGTAGGCAGAAGGTATAAAACAAAGCTATAACGTACCATTACTTATTGACCTTCGACAACAAAGAAGTTTTTCAGACAATATACTATTGTCTTTCCCTCCAAATCTTGTAAAAGATTCAGAGTTTATTAAGATACAAGTTATCGGTGAGTTTGAACACGTTATGTGTGAATACTTTCTTTTAAGTGTGCATAGTTTATTCTGTCTACACCATATTGTTCGCCGTGATTTAACTTTTGTGCATAGTTTATTCTATCTATACCGTATTGTTCGCCGTGATTTATCTTTTATGCATAGTTTATTCTATCTATACAATATTGTTCTCCGTGATTTAACTTTTGTGCATAGTTTATTCTATCTATACCGTATTATTCGCCGTGATTTAACTTTTATGCATAGTTTATTCTATCTATACCGTACTGTTTGTCCTGATTTAACTTAAATGCATAGTTTATTCTATATTTACCATATTTTTCGCCGTGATTTAACTATTGTACATAGTTTATTCTATCTATACCATATTGTTCGCCGTGATTTAACTTGTGTGCATATATTATTCTATCTATACCATATTGTTCGCCGTGATGTAATTTTTGTGCATAGTTTATTCTATCTTTACCGTATTAATCGCCGTGATTTAACTTTTGTGCATAGTTTATTCTATCTATACCATATTTCTCGCCGTGATTTAACTTTTATGCATAGTTTATTCTATCTATACCATATTGTTCGCCGTGATTTAACTTTTATGCATGGTTCATTCTATATAAACCGTATTGTTCGCCGTGATTAAACTTTTGTGCATAGTTTGTTCTATCTATACCGTACTGTTCGCCGTGATTTAATTTGTGTGCATAGTTTATTCTATCTATACCGTATTCTTCTCCGTGATTTAACTTGTGTGCATAGTCGTGAATTAACTTTTGTGCATAGTTTATTCTATCTATACCTTATTGTTCGCCTTAATTATCTCTGGCTCAGAATAGAAAACAAGATAAATAATACTTATATTTTGGCCGAAAATTATTGTACAAGTTTATATAACAAATAATTCATAAACATACATGAAAAATAGAGTATAAAAAATTGCGGACCCTACAAAAGTTGCCCGCATAAGTTATATCTGTTAAACAAAAAAAAACAAAAAAACAAACTAGCACAATAATTAAAAATTAGGGATGGGCGGGAGGGTAACTTATCCAAAATATATCTAATTATGAAATCGAAATTCTTAAATGTACTTACTGAACATGTACTATTGATAGTACCGAATTACAAAATATTGAATGAAACGAACTTCGCATATAATGATGCGTTTTCAGAATTAAAAACTGTACGATTTAACTTTTTTGCATAGTTTATTCTATCTACACCATATTGTTCGCCGTGATTTAACTTTTGTGCATAGTTTATTCTATCTATACTGTATTGTTCGCCGTGATTTAACTTTTAAGAATAGTTTATTCTATCTATACCGTACTGTTTGACCTGATTTAACTTTATGCATTGTTTATTCTATATTTACCATATTTTTCGCCGTGATTTAACTTTTGTGCATAGTTTATTCTATCTATACCGTATTGTTCGCCGTGATTTAACTTTTTTGCATAGTTTATTCTATCTATACCGTATTGTTCGCCGTGATTTAACTTTTAAGAATAATTTATTCTACCTATACCATATTGTTCTCCGTGATTAAACTTTTGTGCATAGTTTATTCTATCTATATTGTATTGTTCGCCGTGATTTAACTTTTAAGAATAGTTTATTCTATCTATACCATATTGTTCTCCGTGATTTAACTTTTGTGCATAGTTTATTCTATCTATACCGTATTGTTCGCCGTAATTGAACTTTTGTGCATAGTTTATTCTATCTATACCATATTTTTCGCCGTGATTTAACTCTGTGCATAGTTTATACTATCTATACCGTATTCTTCGCCGTGATTTAACTTTTAAGAATAGTTTATTCTACCTATACCATATTGTTCTCCGTGATTAAACTTTTGTGCATAGTTTATTCTATCTATACCATAATGTTCGCCGTGAATTAATTTTTGTGCATAGTTCAATCTATCTATACCGTATTGTTCGCCGTCATTTAACTTTTGAGCATAGTTTATTCTATCTATACCATATTTTTCGCCGTGATTTAACTCTGTGCATAGTTTATACTATCTATACCGTATTCTTCGCCGTGATTTAACTTTTAAGAATAGTTTATTCTACCTATACCATATTGTTCTCCGTGATTAAACTTTTGTGCATAGTTTATTCTATCTATACCATATTTTTCGCCGTGATTTAACTCTGTGCATAGTTTATACTATCTATACCGTATTCTTCGCCGTGATTTAACTTTTAAGAATAGTTTATTCTACCTATACCATATTGTTCTCCGTGATTAAACTTTTGTGCATAGTTTATTCTATCTATACCGTACTGTTTGTCCTGATTTAAATTTTATGCATTGTTTATTCTATATTTACCGTATTTTTCGCCGTGATTTAACTTTTGTGCATAGTTCATTCTATCTATACCATATTGTTCGCCGTGAGTTAACTTTTGTGCATAGTTTATTCTATCTATATCATATTGTTCGCCGTTAACAAAATTTTGTGCATAGTTTAATCTATCTATAGCGTATTGTTCGCCGTGATTTAACTTTTGTGCATAGTGTATTCTATCTATACCATATTTCTCGCCGTTATTTAACTTTGTGCATAGTTTATACTATCTATACCGTATTGTTTGCCGTGATTTAACTTTTAAGAATAGTTTATTCTATCTATACAATATTGTTCTCCGTGGTTTAACTTTTGTGCCTAGTTTATTCTATCTATACCGTACTGTTTGCCCTGATTTAACTTTTATGCATTGTTTATTCTATATTTACCATATTTTTCGCCGTGAATTAACTTTTGTGCATAGTTTATTCTATCTATACCATATTGTTCGCCGTGAGTTAACTTTTGTGCATAGTTTATTCTATCTATATCATATTGTTCGCCGTGAAATAATTTTTGTGCATAGTTTAATCTATCTATACCGTATTGTTCGCCGTCATTTAACTTTTGTGCATAGTTTATTCTATCTATACCATATTTCTCGCCGTGATTTAACTTTGTGCATAGTTTATACTATCTATACCGTATTGTATGCCGTGATTTAAATTTTAAGAATGGTTTATTCTATCTATACCATATTGTTCTCCGTGATTTAACTTTTGTGCATAGTGTATTCTATCTATACCGTACTGTTTGCCCTGATTTAACTTTTATGCATTGTTTATTCTATATTGACCATATTTTTCGCCGTGATTTAAATTATGTGCATAGTTTATTCTATCTATACTATATTGTTCGCCGTGAGTTAACTTTTGTGCATAGTTTATTCTATCTATACCATATTGTTCGCCGTGAATTAATTTTTATGCATAGTTTATTCTATCTGTACCATATTGTTCGCCGTGATTTACCTTTTATGCATGGTTTATTCTATATAAACCGTATTGTTCGCCGTGATTAAACTTTTGTGCATAGTTTGTTCTATCTATACCGTACTGTTCGCCGTGATTTAACTTTTGTGCATAGTTTATTCTATCTATACCGTATTCTTCTCCGTGATTTAACTTGTGTGCATAGTCGTGAATTAACTTTTGTGCACAGTTTATTCTATCTATACCGTATTGTTCGCCGTAATTATCTCTGGATCAGAATAGAAAACAAGATAAATAATACTTATATTTTGGCCGAAAATTATTGTACAAGTTTATGTAACAAATAATTTATAAACATACATGAAAAATAGAGTATAAAAAATTGCGGACCCTACAAAAGTAGCCCGCATAAATTATATATGTTAAACAAAAAAAAAAAAAAAAACAAAAACAAACTAGTACAATAATTAAAATTAGGGATGGGCGGGAGGGTAACTTATCCAAAATATATCTAATGATGAATACGAAATTCTTAAATGTACTCACTGAACATGAACTATTGATAGTACCGAATTACAAAATATTGAATGAAACGAACTTTGCATATAATGTTGCGTTTTCAGAATTAAAAACTGTACGATTTAACTTTTGTGCATAGTTTATTCTATCTACACCATATTGTTCGCCGTGATTTAACTTTTGTGCATAGTTTATTCTATCTATACCGTATTTTTCGCCGTGATTTAATTTTTAAGAATAGTTTATTCTATCTATACCATATTGTTCTCCATGATTTAACTTTTGTGCATAGTTTATTCTATCTATACCGCATTGTTCGCCGTGATTTAACTTTTATGCATAGTTTGTTCTATCTATACCGTTCTGTTCGCCGTTATTTAATTTTTGTGCAGAGTTTAATCTATCTATACCGTATTGTTCTCCGTGATTTAACTTTTGTGTATAGTCGTGAATTAACTTGTGTGCATAGTTTATTCTATTTAAACCGTATTGTTCGCCGTAATTATCTCTGGCTCAAAATAGAAAACAAGATAAATAATACTTATATTTTTGCCGAAAATTATTGTACAAGTTTATATAACAATTGATTTATAAACATACATGAAAAATATGTTGCGAACTCTACAAAAATAGCCCGCATAAGTTAAATATGTAAAACAAAAAAAAAGCAAAAAACTAGCTAGTACAATAATTAAAAATTAGGGATGGGCGGGAGGGTAACTTATCGAAAATATATCTAATAATGAATACGAAATTCTTAAATGTACTCACTGAACATGTACTATTGATAGAAGCGAATTACGAAATATTGAATGAAACGATTATGCGTTTTCAGAATTAAAAAACTGTGCGATTTAACTTTTGTGCATAGTTTATTCTATCTATACCATATTGTTCGTCGTGATTTAACTTTTTTGTGCATAGTTTATTTCATCTATACCGTATTGTTCGCCATGATTTAACTTTTGTACAAAGTTAATTCTATCAATACCGTATTGTTCGACGTGATTTAACTTGTGTGCATAGTTTGTTCTATCTATACCATATTGTTCGCCCTGATTTTACTTTTGTGCATAGTTTATTCCCCTATACCATATTGTTCGCCGTGATTTAAATTTTGTGTATGGTTTATTTTATCTCCATATTGTTCGCCGTGATTTAAATTTTTTAGACAAATTGCTGATTGCATACAATAATGTCAATACGGCAATTACATAATTTAACCTCATGAAAGGAGGAATAAATAAAACCATATCATTTAATAAGACATTGGATTTATCAAAGTTATCAACTAATGAAAAATCATGCATTTGTACTATGCCGCGATAATTGTCTTTCAATTATTGTTTACCCCACTATTAATAGTGTCTTTTTGCGGGAACAATGTCCATTTTGGAATAACAGGGCAATCAATATTAATAACAAAAAAAGGTAAAGCTATAAAAAAGGTGAATTAATAACAGAATAAACAAACTTATGGTAGCTGATAGAAAAACATAAGTACGATTTTTCTCATAATAAATATACTTATATTGTATATACGTACGTCTAAACAAGTGACAACTCTACGACAGATCCATCCATTGGATCACCAGTGAAGGTGATACGCGGCTGAAAACACATATTATATTCATAGTTACTTTAAATATCAGCACAACAATGTTAAATCTGCAAATTTGCATATTTAACATTGTTAGATTGTATATAAGCACACACTTATAGAGTTGTCTACCGATGTTACAGTTCAGCATGGAGAAAACGGCATTTGTAAATATATTTAGAAACGGAAATTAATATTTTATTTATCTTTCAAATTTAATTTATTCTATATGAGAAAAAGAAGATTTGGTATGACTGCCCATGAGAATTAGTCATAAAACTACAGGACACAGATGTAAACAGTTGTAAGCCACCACCTGTTGGCAATACAAATATAGTTTTTTTGCTAATAAATTGCTGTATTACTATATAAAGTATGATGACGACGTTTACTATTGTTTTATCAGGAGATTTACTGGGGGCAACATTGGCAGGATTGGGAGACCTGCTTAAGATTTCATCAGGAAGTGGAGAACAAAATATGGTTGGTTTTACCCCAAATGTTTACGTTAGTGCTTATCTGAAAGCAACTAACCGACTAACAGAAGAAATTAAGAAGAAGACAGCTAAATTTCTAGAGGGAGGTAATATAACGTTTCTTATCATCGGTCATTACGTATACTTTTATAAAACATGTGATGATATGCTGATAGTTAAAAGAGAGGCGGAAGATACCAAATGGATATTCAAACTCATCAGCCAAACTGACAACACGATAATAAAAAACAAAAACGACATCATTCTACAAAGAGCAACATAAAACCAATAGACCGAGCAACATGAACCCCATCAAAAACCGGGGGTGACCTCAGTTGCTCTGAAAAAAAGTAAACAGATCCTTATCCACATGTTACATCCGTCGTCTTGATGGTGGAAGCACAAATTCGATGATAAGTCTGATAAGTTGATGTTACATTTGCGGAAAGGTATTGGATTGTGTTTACGACCATATTAATATATCCGTAACGGTCAACGTAAAGGTGTCTTTGAAATTTTCAAAAGAATGTCTTAAAGAATATTAACGGTACCAAGTTTAATGCACCGAAGCGCATTTCGACAATTAATGTCTCTTCAGTGATGCTCGAGGCCAAAATATTTGAAAATCCTAAATTACTTGGAACTCTTGGTTTAATATCCTCCTTGTATGCAGATACCCTCAATCAAGGAAATAATCATAGAAAACACAAGCTCTAAAACTACGTTTTAACTGAGAGGTATATATATATATATATATATATATATATATACGCCATATGCAGGTGCTGGTGGAGTGTTGTTCCAGAAAGGTTAAAACTTCACCTTTGGAAAGCTGACATCACCTTTTCTGTCCTAAAATTAAGTTCTCAACCGACCGCCATTACCAATTTTTACAAGTCTAGATTAGGGGCAGACTTAACTGTTTCTATGGTGACCTAGATTTCAAGTTCGATAGGATAGATGCGTTCAACATAGTCACCAAACTTTGAATCATAGTTCATTTATTTAGAGTGAAGTTTAAAAATAATACTAGCTTATCATTCTACGTAAGAAGCTTCTGTATGAATACAAAAAAAAGGAGATTGCAAATGAGACAACTATTCACCAAAGTTCAAATAAAGTGAATGTAAGCAATGATAGGCAACCGTATTGCCTTCGACAATTAGAAAAACCAATACCTTAGTCGGTTATAAAAGGTCTCGGCATGAAAAATATGAAACAATTAAATTGAGAAAACTAACGGCCTAATTTATTACAAAACAATTCACGAAATACAAATATGATAGACATGAACCAACAACAACGAATTTCTGCCTCATATAAACAAAAGAACAAGTCGGTTAGAAGACAAACACAATTAGTTCCAATGGGAATGCCGATTTTTTTTTTAAATATACGTCCGCTAAACGTAACAAGTACATTTATGTTGTCAATCAAGCATCTTGATAGTGTCAGTTTCAGAGAATTTTTGATTTAAATCTGAGTGGTGTGTTTACAAAATATGATTTAATAATCCAAAACAAGAAATGTTTATATACGTTGACCTTTCTTTTTCATAAGACTAAACTGAACCAATTCTCACCATATGTATTATTTTAAGTTTGTAATACTTGTGTAAAGTATGATGTAATTGATTTTCAATATATATAAGAAGATGTGGTATGAGTGCCAATGAGACAACCCTCCATCCAAGTCACAATGCATAAAAAGTAAACAATTGAAGGTATAAGTACGGCCTTTAACAAGGAGCCTTGGTTCACACCGAATAGCAAGCTATAAAGGGCCCTACAATGACTAGTTTAAAACAATTCAAACAGGAAAACCAACGGTCTAATCTATATAAAAAAACGAGAAACGAGAAACACTTATGAACCACACAAACAAAGGACGAGCTTTTTTTCAAAAATGTCAAACTGTTTTCCAGCCAGATTGTAAAATATTTCGAAAAATCAATTTTTGTTTCTCATACAACGTGTCATATAAAAATTATGATAGGTCGAATCAAATAATATTAGTTTACATTCTATACAGCCTCTTTGAATCAAACTTATATTTCATTTAATCATTTACGTAATAAATTGAATATAAATAACTTTTTAGGTTATCAAAGGGAACTCTCATTTGCACATAACGATGGTTCATTCAGTGCGTTTGGAAATAACGATAAAAGTGGAAGTACCTGGTAAGGTTTCATTTCATCCTTTGATTTTTTATTATGAGTTGCATTTTCAAACGACTAGGATAACTCCTCGATAGCATTAGGTTTTATTATAGGTTTGCCATAGACAACCCTTAGACAACTCATCAATATATTCTAGTTTTATGATGTTTGCCCTATTGAAAGTTTTAAACAACTCCTCGATATTCTCTGATTTTATCATATGACATAACAATGTTAACTGTATGCGACGTCATAAACCTCCGTCAATATAAATACTGCTACAGGATCGGATGATATATAATAGACTCTCTCGTGATGGCGTCCGTATGATTTTTACTTAACCAATCGGAACTCTTGGTTTAAAAGCGTTCTTGCAAACAGCAAACCTTTAACAAAAAACTGAGAGAATCGCATGAACTCTAAAAGGAGCGTGACTGGGAGCGTCTGCATGGTATACGTTTTCTGTTATGCATCTATCGTCCGCGATGCGAATCCAGATTCAGTCTTATTGCTAGTCTTGTAATCCTTCTTAGACAACGAAAACATATCGCTATCAAGTTGAAACACATGCATCGTATTTAACTAATTCGTGATGGTGACCGTAAAACTTATGCCTAGTTGATTTCAGTCATTCTGCCTCACGTTAATCGGAGCAACAACAGTAAATTCCAAATAGGTCGGTTTATTTACCCTTTATTATTGTAATACAATTGATGTCCTTTTTATTTTCCAGGTTAACCGCATTTGTAGTTAAATCCTTTTCTCAAGCTGCAGACTTGACATTCATCGACATAAATGTAATGACAAAAGCTATCCAATGGCTTATTAGACAGCAGGAGCCATCAGGGGCATTCAATGAACCGGGGATTGTAATTCATAAGGAAATGCAGGTCAGTATCATTCTTTACTTGTTCATTATTAAATACTAAGTGTATCATGGGAAGAATATTAAACTGATTACAATGCTTGAATTACAAAAAAAGAATCGTTAGAAAAAAAAAAATTATTTACACTTAAAGAATACGTTACATTTTGGGCGAGTGTGGCAACATCCGATCAAGACGACGTTGTCAACAGCAACCTATATCAAGTTAACGATATTTTTTTAAGAAAACAAAATTAATTGAGAGATGTTAAAGAGAGGCAAAAGATACCAAAGGAACATTCAAACTTAAAAATCGAAAATGAACTGATAACGCAATTGCAAAAAGCAGAAAAAAAGACCAAAAACAAACAACAGTACACAAAACACAACAAAACTATAGACTAAGCAACACGAACCCCACCTAAAACCGGGTTGATCTCAGGTACTTCGGAAGGGTTAAGCAGATCCTGTTCAACATGTGGCACCCGTCGTGTTGCTCATGTTAGTACGAACCCCTTGTTAAGACGTAAGTTAGATTGAAAGATTAAAACCCAATGACAGCAGTTGGTATGGTGAGGTATCTGTGATAAGAAAATCAAATTCTAATAGATGTCTCGCCTTTTAAATATGCGGAATTATATGATTTTAACCTTATCTGTACATCAGGATTTATTTAAGTGTTGATATTTCAGGGAGGTTCTGTTTCGAGTAAAAGAAGCCTTACAGCATTTGTACTGATCGCACTCCACGAAGCAAGAGCTAATGATCAAGTATCTCCAAAGGTAAGTTAAATAATACCACTCATTATTACCGAAGAACACAATACAACAAAAGTCCCTAACGTTTGACTTTTGTTGATACGTGTTCACCTAAATAAAAGTTGTACAACTGACTTCTATATTCATAACTCAATCATATAAAAAGTTATTCATAACTGAAAAATATAAATCGTTAAATACTAATAAATAGAACAAGCAAATAAAAGTTTCATCAATAAAATGTCCATCGTAGATACCAATAACGTATAATGATGTACTCCGTTATTGTCTTAACGTTTGTATTGTTTTGTACAATACAGATTATCAGGCAAGTTTTGCCAGTATTTATTATTGTTTTGTTTTGTACATTACCGATAGTCAGGCAATTTCTATCAGTATCTGTTAGATTTCGTTGCCATATATAGCTTATACGTTTTTGATATTACCTTCCCCCCTTTTCTCCAATCCATAGTCGTAACATCTAGCAAAGATCAATCGAATGTTTGGGTCGTCTTGAACATCCAGTTCAATGAGCGGTGCTGCTAAATTTTAAATGGTAACTGAGACTTTAAGATAAAGAACAGCAAAAAATCGCTGTTGTTTTTCCATGTGCATTAAATTATTTTCATTATTTGAAAATCCATATGGGTGAACTTTCTAAAGATAGCTCACACTTTCTTTCTAATATTATAGTTACTTTCAATAACCTTAATTGTTTTTTAATTTGAGTGTGGATCTATTTGTTTTTGTTTGATGTGTATTGCATGACTGCACTGATACATTGTGTCGATGTACTAGTACTGATACTAAGGAAATAGTCTCTCTTGTTACGATTATTTTACACAATAGCGGCTCCAAGCATTGACTGACCGACTCCAGATGATCGAAAGAAGATGAGCTCGATATCTTTCTAACAAACATCATAACAACTTTTAAAAGTGTTAGCACGATGCTCCAACATCTAAAATGAACATCCTTAGATATAAAAAAAGAAGTTAGACTTAATTTGATTAGGGACTTTCCTTTTTGAATTTTCCTCAGAGTTCAGTATTTTTGTGATTTTACTTTTTAAATTCAAATATTCGTTTAGGAAGGGGAAGTTCAGTATGCGCACCAAATTCATGAGAGTATAAACAATTTGTTGATTGTGGCTATATCTGACAGAAGCAGAAGCAGAATCTTATTAATGTTTTGGAAAGTGTCGTTCGCACGACATCAGTATCATAAATTAAATAACATTTACCACATACCACACGCCACTGAGCAAATAAAATCTCCCAAGATTCCTAAGTTCAAAGACTCATAACACAAAAGTCAACTGAAGAAAAATTCCTGTGGATATGCACATTTACATATTATTTCCTAATTTACCTCAAAGTTTCATGAAATTCTATTGGGTGTATTCAGAGGAATTGCGCAGACAAACTGTCGCAGTAATATTTTGAAGCCAAAATTCTAAATTCAAAGGGACATAACTCATAGAAAAAAGTTGATTCAGAACTTTCTGTCGATATGCACATCTACATAGTATTTCATAATAATCTATAATGTTTCATGAAATATCTGTTGCGTGGTTTTAGAGGAGTATCGATGACTAACTGTTACAGTAGTATATTAGGCCAACATTCTAATTTCAAAGAGGCATAACTCCTAGAAATAAAATGGAATCATGATTTCCTATCAATATTCATATCTACATATTATATTCTTATTATCTACAAAGCTTTATGGAATTATGTTATGTGTTTGAAAAGAGTAGCGATGATAAGAACAGGACTGACAAACGGACTGACGGACGGGTCAAAAACATTATACCCTACGCTACGTTGTTGCATGGGATATAATTATGATGGTATTTCTAGAAATCAGAATTTTTACATTAAAACTACAGCCCTTGGATGGTGTAAACTTCCCAAAATAACGTGTATGGTGTAATGGTGTATGGCATATGGTGCAATGGTAGAAGGTGTATGGTGCTATGGTGTATGGTGTAAGGGGAATGGTGTAATGGTGTATGAGGAATGGTGTGATTGTGTAACGTGCGATCGGGAATGGTGTGAATGAATGGTGTACGACATTTCATTGGTTGAAACCGAAGTTCATTTTATTTTAATTTTTCGGATTGTAAACATAAACAATAATAATAATCCTATTGTTCTATTTTCCCAGTAAAGCAAATTACTTTACTCGTTAGACTCTATATGTCATATATATTTAATATACACATATTAAAAAATCTTTTTTTTTCTTATTCTTATTTACATTAAACAATGGCTTTAAAATTACACACTTGTGATCACATGCAGTTATCATAAAAGAAAGGATTTTATTTAAACTAGAAGGCGGATAGAAAGGTTATCCACGCATCGGAACAGTATTTTTATATCACGGGTTATCAACATCATTTTTAAAGTTGCTTCGTTCCCCACTTTTGACAGTCTCTTTATAAATATCTTATCGTCATTCACCTATGTTTGCCTTGGATTTACGATTCTGTTTTCCAAAAAATGTTCAAAGGAAAATTGTACAGTGTTATTGCACATAAGGTGTTGTATAATTATGAACAATCTCGTCAATTTCGTTAGATTTGTCTTTACGGATTATAAATGATATCTTGAACGTCCGAAAAAATATACTTATGTGAAACGGAATGAAATATTTGCCACTTGATATTTAGCCACCAACAAAATCAACCAACCGACATATTATACTAACAGTATACTGTTCCTAGAAGAGAACTTCTCATACTTTTCATTATAAAGTACAAATGAAATCTGTCATGTCAGTCACACTGTTGGATGATGAGGTGGAATAGTTTTATTATACAAACCATCCTGAACTACTGAGTTTAAATCATCACACCTCAGCAAGCACGACTAATTTATGCGCAGACCAACCCATCACACAATAGCCCAAAAGGAATCTGTGATGTACCCGTCCATATTCAGAAGTCATGGAAGTGGGAAATACAGATACTGATCATGCTGATACTGACTTTAGTGACAGTTTTATATAACGAATACAGAGATGAAATGCTGGCACTCTAAATTAAAGCGGACAAGATTTTGTTATCATTGTATTGCAATGTTGCTGTCATTTGTATTATACAATCCATCCTGACATCAAAATATTGCTGATTTACTATGCGGCTGCCACTATATAGATTTACATAATCAAGTGCAAATATGGTCAGTTTTGTTTGATACTTTAAAATAGTTTTGTTATACGAGTCAGCCTGAGGTATCAAAACTACTGAAATTTTCTTGCGAGACAATATTTTAAAAAAAAGAGGACATGCTGGCTATCTAGATTGATGGGGACAAATTTTTGTTGTCATTGTATTGCAATGTTGCTGTCATTTGTATTATACAATCCATCCTCACATCAAAATATTGCTGATTTACTTTGCGGCTATATGCTGATTTACTATGCGGCTATATAGATTTACATACATGACATAATAAAGTGCTAATATGATCAGTTTTGGCTGATGCTTTAAAATAATTTTGTTATACAAGTCAGCCTGAGGTATCAAAACTACTAAAATTTTCATGCGAGACAATATTTTGAATAAAAAGAGGACATGCTGGCTATCTACATGTAGATTGATGGGGACAAATTTTTGTTGTCATTGTGTTGCAATGTTGCTGTCATTTAATTTGTATAATGCAATCCATTCTGACATCAAAATATTGTTGTTTACTATGCGGCTATATAGATTTACATAATAAAGTGCAAATATGGTCAGTTTTGGTTGATTCGTTTAAATAATTTTGTTATACGAGTCAGCCTGAGGTATCAAAACTACTGAAATTTTGTTGCGAGACAATATTTTGAATAAAAAGAGGACATGCTGGCTATCTAGATTGATGGGAACAAATTGTTGTTGTCATTGTATTGCAATGTTGCTGTCATTTGTATTATACAATCCATCCTGACATCAAAATATTGCTGATTTACTATGTGGCTATATAGATATACATAATAATGTGCAAATATGGTCAGTTTTTGTTGATGCGTTTAAATAATTTTGTTATACTAGTCAGCCTTAGGTATTAAAATTACTGAAATTTTGTTGCGAGACAATATTTTGAATAAAAAGAGGACATGCTGGCAATCTAAATTGATTGGGATAATTTTTGTTGTCATTGTGTTGCAATGTTGCTGTCATTTGTAATATACAATCCATTCTGACAATAAAATATAGCTGCTTTACTATGTGGCTATATAGATATACATAATATTAAAAGTGCAAATATGGTCAGTTTTGGTTGATGCTGTAAAATAATTTTGTTATACAAGTCAGCCTGAGGTATCAAAACTACTGAAATTTTCTTAAGAGACAATATTTTGAATAAAAAGAGGACATGCTGGCTATCTAGATTGATGGGGACAAATTTTTGTTGTCATTGTATTGCAATGTTGCTGTCATTTGTATTATACAATCCATCCTGACATCAAAATATTGCTGATTTACTATGTGGCTATATAGATATACATAATAATGTGCAAATATGGTCAGTTTTTGTTGATGCGTTTAAATAATTTTGTTATACTAGTCAGCCTTAGGTATCAAAATTACTGAAATTTTGTTGCAAGACAATATTTTGAATAAAAAGAGCACATGCTGGCAATCTAAATTGATGGGGATAATTTTTGATGTCATTGTGTTGCAATGTTTCTGTCATTTGTATTATACAATCCATTCTGACAATAAAATATAGCTGCTTTACTATGTGGCTATATAGATATACATAATATTAAAAGTGCAAATATGGTCAGTTTTGGTTGATGCTGTAAAATAATTTTGTTATACAAGTCAGCCTGAGGTATCAAAACTACTGAAATTTTCTTACGAGACAATATTTTGAATAAAAAGAGGACATGCTGGCTATCTAGATTGATTGGGACAAATTTTTGTTGTCATTGTATTGCAATGTTGCTGTCATTTGTATTATACAATCCATCCTGACATCAAAATATTGCTGATTTACTATGCGGCTATATAGATTTAAATAATAAAGTGCAAATATGGTCAGTTTTGGTTGATACTTTAAAATAGTTTTGTTATATGAGTCAGCCTGAGGTATCAAAACTACTGAAATTTTCTTGTGACACAATATTTTGAATAAAAAGAGGACATGCTGGCAATCTAGATTGATGGGGGCAAATTTTTGTTGTCATTGTGTTGCAATGTTGCTGTCATTTGTATAATGCAATCCATTCTGACAACAAAATATTGCTGATTTACTATGCGGCTATACATGTATAGATTTACATAATAATAAAATGCAAATATGGTCAGTTTTGGTTGATTCGTTTAAATAATTTTGTTATACAAGTCAGCCTGAGGTATCAAAACTACTGAAATTTTGTTGCGTGACAATATTTTGAATAAAAAGAGGACATGCTGGCTATCTTAATTGATGGGAATAAAATTTTGTTGTCATTGTATTGCAATGTTGCTGTCATTTGTATTATACAATCCATCCTGACATCAAAATATTGCTGATTTAATTACTATGTGGCTATATAGATATACATAATAATGTGCAAATATGGTCAGTTTTTGTTGATGCGTTTAAATAATTTTGTTATACTAGTCAGCCTTAGGTATCATAATTACTGAAATTTTGTTGCGAGACAATATTTTGAATAAAAAGAGGACATGCTGGCAATCTTAATTGATGGGGATAATTTTTGATGTCATTGTGTTGCAATGTTGCTGTCATTTGTATAATGCAACCCATTCTGACAATAAAATATAGCTGCTTTACTATGTGGCTATATAGATATACATAATATTAAAAGTGCAAATATGGTCAGTTTTGGTTGATGCTTTAAAATAATTTTGTTATACAAGTCAGCCTGAAGTATCAAAACTACTGAAATTTTCTTACCAGACAATATTTTGAATAAAAAGAGGACATGCTGGCTATCTAGATTGATGGGGACAAATTTTTGTTGCCATTGTATTGCAATGTTGCTGTCATTTGTATTATACAATCCATCCTGACATCAAAATATTGCTGATTTACTATGCGGCTATATAGATATACATAATAAAGTGCAAATATTGTCAGATTTTGTTGATGCGTTTAAATAATTTTGTTATACTAGTCAGCCTTAGGTATCAAAATTACTGAAAAATTGTTGCGAGACCATATTTTAATTAAAAAGAGGACATGCTGGCTATCTAAATTGATGGGTATATTTTTTGTTGTCATTGTGTTGCAATGTTGCTGTCATTTGTATTATACAATCCATTCTGACATCAAAATATTGCTGATTTACTATGCGGCTATATAGATTAACATGATAAAGTGCAAATATGGTCAGTTTTGGTTGATGCTTTAAAATAATTTTGTTATACGAGTCAGCCTGAGGTCTCAAAACTACTGAAATTTTCTTGCGAGACAATATTTTGAATAAAAGAGGTCATGCTGGCTATCTAGATTGATCAGGACAAATTGTTGGTGTCATTGTATTGCACTGTTGCTGTCATTTGTGTTATACAATCCATCCTGACAACAAGATATTGCTGATTTACTATGTGGCTTTATAGATATACATAATAAAGTGCAAATATGGTCAGTTTTTGTTGATGCGTTAAAATAATTTTGTTATACGAGTCAACCTGAGGTATCAAAACTACTGAAATTTTGTTGCGAGACAATATATTGAATAAAAAGAGGACATGCTGGCAATCTAGATTGATGGGGACAAATTTTTGTCATTGTACATGTTGTTTTGCAATGTTGCTGTCATTTGTATTATACAATCCACCCTGACATCAAAATATTGCTGATTTACTATGTGGCTATATAGATCTATATAATAAAGTGAAAATATTATGGTCAGTTTTGGTTGATGAGTTAAATAATTTTGTTATATGAGTCAGCCTGAGGTATCAAAATTACTGAAATTTTGTAGCGAGACAATATTTTTAATAAAAGGAGGGCAAAAATATTTCCAAATTTTTTAGCCCTATATAAATTAACAGATTGACACACTCCCCATTTCCATTCTCAATTTTATAATTATAAGTGCAAATATGGTCAGTTTTGGTTGATGCTTAAAATAATTCTGTTGTACATGTTGTACATGTACCAGTCATCCTGAAGTATTCATTTTTGGCATTGTTTGTCGATTTTATCTGAAAACCAAGTTTATAAGATTTACGATACATGTTAAAACCGATAATAATAGCATTGTAACTAATATCGTTTTTAATTTATAGATAGGCAGATCGCGGATAAATTTGCATTACAAGCAAAGTTTTATGCGTACTTTTTTTACAAATACATGTATATATATTTAATCTGTATTGTTTATATAACCATCATAGGCATGACCACGGAGATTTTAATTTTATACATTAATTTACAATATTGTGATCAAAATTCGTTTTTTAAATCAAATAAATAATTTTGTAGTCGCACGCTTTCTTTGAAATTTAATTGCATTATGGGTAATTTCGGATCGTGTAGATAGAATGGGGAATGGTGTATGGTGTAATGTGTAAGGTGTATGGTGCAAAGGTGTAACGTGTATGGTGTAATGGCACAAGGTGTATGGTGTAATGGTGTATGGTGAATGGTGTAATGGTGTATGGTGTGAGTGGGAAGTTTACACCATCCAAGGACTGTATATGATAAACCGATTATATTTCAATTAACTTCGTTTTAATAGTGATCTACGGTTGGAAAAAGTAATCAGATCCCTTACCCTTAAGTTTCTCCAATGTACTAGACGAGAGATTATCTCAAGATCTGTGAAAGAAGTGAAAGCGCTTGTAAATGTGATGAATTGAAACCGTTATTATATTTTATTTATTGTCTGATATATATATAAGAGTGGATAAATATCGTATTGCACAAGATTTGATGGTGGAATCTGTTTCTCTAATGATTTTTAAACAATGTGCAGACAAACTCAATCCTTATTTTCAAATGATCTGCAAAAAGATGTGTTCTTTCTATGTGACGTCATCAGACATGGTTGCCATTTTTCATGACGTCACAATAGGAAATTCAGAGGAAAGCAAGAAAATTTGACGTCATAATCGAATTTTAACCAATGAAGAACTGAGATCAAACGTTGATTTAATATAGATTCCATCACTGCAACAAGTGTGTTACTATATTTCTTCAGTAGAGACAGTTAAATTTTAATATTCAAAGCGCGAGGCTTGCCGAGCTTTTTAAATAATTAAAATTTAACAGTTAAGAGTGGAGAAATATCGTAATACACGAGTTATAGTGGCAGAATTTGTTTCTCTAATGATTTTTATCCTTCCTTTTCAAAGATTTGCAGAAGATTGTGTTCTTTATATGTGACGTCATCAGGCATTGACGCCCCTTGTTCATGACGTCACAATAGGAAATTCAGAAGAAATTCAGAAATTTTAACGTCATAATCAAATTTTGACCAATCATTTGCTGAGAACAGATATTTCACTAGTGAGGAGAAATATTTTTCTCACACCGCTCAATAAATGTGAAAATAGCACAAAAATTAGAGAAATAAAAATAATCAACAGGTCAGGAAGAGGATAAATCGCGTAAGAATTAGATATATATATATATATATATATCGGATGCACTTAAATAAATCTAGTACATTGGAGAAATTTCAGGGTAGACATGGTAAAGGATCTGATTTCGACCAAAGAAGACTAATTGGTTTCTATTATCTGCTGGAATCTTCCCTGAACCTGCCCTTGTAGGCTAATTCAAGTTGTAAGAGACAAAAATAATCAAAAAGAAAGAAACAAAAAGTAATTATACGACTTATTATTCATTGGCATTTCAGATTAAGCAACAAGTTACTGCTGCTATCCAGAAAGCAACAGATTACACTGCAAAGGGAGCACCTGTGTCAATGGATAACTTGTACGAACTTACGATATCATTTTACGCCTTATCATTGGTTAAGCATTCTTCAACTGATGCCATTCTTAGAGAACTTGAGAAGAAAGCAAACAACACTGGTAATGAGTAATATATTATTGCAAGCTCCTATTGTGTTTTTTAAAAATAAGCATGTTGATTTAAATGTGCATATACTTGAATAATTCGCCCATATACATATTTCTGTTAATTATATAATGGCAATGTGGACTTCCGTAATTCAGTGGTTGTCGCTGGTGGATGTCTTTTGTGTTTGTTCTTAGTTTATTGTTTTGTCATAAAATATGCCGTTGGTTTTTGTTTGTTTGAATTGTTTTATATTTTTCGTATGCTGTCTTTAATAGCTGACTAACGTAATTGAGTTTTATGTTTGATTGTGTTGTTAGCTGTTTGATTAAAGTCAAAGGGTAAATGTTTCAATCGTATTCAGAACGAAAACAAATAAAACAAAATCCAATACATAGGTTCTTAAAAGTCGGTCGATTTAGTGAAAAACCGAAATGCCACTTGAAAAGGAAACTTGTAGATAGAAACAGAACGTTTGCCGTTAAAAAGGACATAAGCGGTATAGTCGTAGAGATGTTTCAAAGTTTTCATCGATTTTTTACGAATCTAGTATCAGATTTATAATCCCAATTCAAATTGTATTCGACAGCATATATATACAACCTATAGAGAGAGACTAACAACAAATCCGTGTGACATTGGGTGTACAGGGTTTAAAATTTCAAACCAAAATTGGTTGAACAGAACATTTCTGACCGCTGAAAATAGGGCGACAAAACAGGCAAAGTTAAAAGGTGAAGGGTGGGTATCATGTTCTTCAGGTATTTGGAATACGTCTATACTTTTTTTTAATTTCATATGAATATAAGGGAAGTACTAAATTATATATATTATATATACATGATATATATCATTTTAAAGGTGGTGAAAAATATTGGGCATTACCAGACACTCAATCAGATAAAATACAACCTTGGAAATCATGGAGGTCACCACGCAATGACGTTAGAGCATTAGATGTAGAAATGACGTCATACGTACTGTTAGGTTACAATTTGAGGGATGATACAACTAATGGCATTCGTGTGTTAAAATGGTTAGCTAGACAAAGAAATCCAAGTGGTGGATTTATTTCTACACAGGTAAACAATGGTGATATAATTATATTCATGGTAATATATAAAATACAAATGCAAAAGGTATTGTAGCAATTTTTTTTTGTTTTTTTCTTTATTTTTTTAATCTCATTTACTTGAGACTTGATCTGATGTCCAACAAATCTAAGAAATGCACTTAACGTAATAGATTTGCTGAAGGAATATGTCATTTAATTTTATTTATGCAACCTTTTATAGTTACTTTTGGTCAATATTCAGCATACTGACAACCACATGGAAAAAAACAAAAAACGACGAGAAGACAAACAACAGTCTACAAAACCCTTGGGTATATCATTGGTTGAAATGTGATTTATTATTATAAATATGTATGTCTTACAGGATACAGTGATAGCCGTCCAGGCATTGTCAGGACTTGGAGGAAAGCTTTACGCCCCTAATTTTCAAATGACTGTAAATACTAAAGGTGTGACCTGGCCTGTAGGTGAAACATTCAAGGTGAACAACCAAAATGCTTTGGTTCTACAGAATAAAGATGTAAGTTATAATCGCAATAAGTTTAAGAATGTTTTCTTGTGTACAAATATTTATACATGTAAGAAGTGACTAACCTATTTCCTTAAGCGCAACTTGTGTTTCTTTAAAAATTTCCATCATGTATACTCATAATCTAGTAGTTTTCAAAGCCATACTTCTGCAACGTTTAAGAGCTTGAAAAACTAGAGGGTTTAAAGGCATCCGAAAAACTGCCATTGGTCAGTTTTGCTTGAATTAGTAGGTATTCTTAATTAAAATCATGAATTTGAAATTTAAATAAAAATTATGCCTACAAACTCTAAGCATTGTGCACATATGGAAAAAAAGTATTAACTAATAATAATGAACTTCAACGTAAATTCAAAAAAAGGAAGTCCATAGATAAAGGCAACAGTAGTATGCCGCTGTTCAAAAGTCATAAATCGATTAAGAGAAAACAAATCCGGGTTACAAACTAAAACCGAGGGAAACATATCAAATATAAGAGGAAAACAACGGAACAACAGAAACACTGAACTGCAACAAAAACAAACACCAACATACATAAAAACGCAATATTTGATAAAATTTGCCATATTCCTGACTTGGTACAGGACATTTTAAGAACAAATGGTGGGTTGAACCTGGTTTAATTGCTAGCCAAAGCTCCCGCTTATATAGCAATGTTAAAACAATATCGCTAAAATGACAACACTGCGTGAAAAGAATACAGTACAAACAAACGCAAGAACACTCAGCACAGAGAAATGAATAAATAAATAATGTCATAGTACATTACAACATGTGAACCGCAGAATAACAACAGACATCTCCCATCAACGACAGCACAAAACTTGATCAAAATCAAACATGAGACTTTAACACCTAACGGAACAAATAGAAAATAACTGTCAAATTCTTGAGGAATTTTCTGACGAAAATGTTAGGTAAAGCCTCGTTTTATAGCTGGCTAAACCTTCCACTTGCATGACAGTTGTTCATAGTTTCATTATATTGACAAAATTGAGCGAGCAACCCAAACAGACAAAATAGCTTAATGTGACAATAATTGGGATCCAGCAGTCAAAACTGTGTAAACATATATCACAGATATACAACACGACTGACTTAAAAATTCAAACAAACATACAAATAAATCTAATAATAAAGACACCATCAAAACACTTATTGCAGTTGATTTCAAATCTGACAAAGACGCCAACAAAAATGTTTTTGTAGTTGAGAGTGCATATAGTATGTAGAATACATTTTTTCGATAAAGTACAAATTAACTAAAATAAAAATACAAGGGTAAAAGAACGGAACTTATTGCATGTCAAATTAGGAACCGATAAAATGGATAAAAAGTGGACGAAATCTATGTCTATTCACTTAACAATTGTTTCTGAAAAAAACAATTGTGAAACTTATTTCCAAATTAACGACAAGTTTTTCTGGAATTATAATTATGATTTGATCCCAAAGGAAAACAGCCGGAGATCAAAAACTTTAAAACATTTGAGAGTATAAACAAGGCGAAAGATACCATAGGGATTCTTAAACTCATAAGTCGAAAACAAACTAACAATGCCATGGCAAAAAAACGAAATAAAACGACGAAAAAACAAACTACAGTACACTAAACACAACATACAAAACTGAATACTTACTGATCATCATGAACCCCACCAAATACCGGGGTGATCTCAAGTGCTCCAGAAGGGTTAGCAGGTCCTGCTCAACGTTGATAAGATATGTTCAATTCGGTAGGTCCCATTCGATGAAAGAGAACGGGATTATGGTAACGACAATTGGAGCATTTCTGTCGTCTTCTGTGAAACTGATATTTCATAACGGTCAACTAACTCGTGATGGTGTCCGTACAATTTTCGAAGGGATGATAACAACTTGGAACTCTTGGTTCAATATTTTCCTTGTTAGCAGCAACCCTCTATCACGGAAAACATGAAAGGAAATGCATGCTCTGGGAGGCATATACTCTAGGCGATTCGTTTTATGTTTAAGGAATGGGAACACAGATGTATGGAGATAAAAGGGACAGAAGGGCAATGATCTGCATACTTAGCAGCTATTAATGTTTAACAGCCGTATATTAAAGCAAGTTGTGAATTTTAATATAAAAAAACTAACAAATCATATATAACTACTAAATAATATAAATATGGTCAGTGTTTTTTGAAACAAAGAAAATTTTAGGCAGTATATAAGGATAAAGAGCATCAAAAAACGGCTAACCCTCCTCTAGTCATTGTATTTCAGTTGCCAACGACTGTGATTGTCTGGTTTATTTTCACCTATTTCCTTATTCTATTGCAGATTCCCAACACTGTGAAAAGTGTATCAGTAACTGCTAGTGGTAGCGGATGGTGTATGGTGGAGGTAAGTGTGTTAGTAAATGTTAATAATAGATGATTGTGTATAATGAAGGTAAGTGTGTTAGTTATGTTTAATAGTAAAGGACTGTGTATGATAGAGGTAAGTGTGTTAGTAAATGTTAGTAGTAGATGATTGTGTATAATGAAGGTAAATGTTTCAGTAAATGTTAATGATAGATGATTGTGTACATGGTGTATGATGGGGATACGTATGTCAGTAAATGCTAATGAAAGAGGATTGTGTATTATAGAGGTAAGTATGTCAGTAACTGATGATGATAGAGAATTGTGTATGATAGAAGTAAGTATGTCAGTAACTGCTAATGATAAAGAATTGTGTATGATAGAGGTAAGTGTATCAGTAAATGTTAATGGTAGAGGATTGTGTATGATAGAGGTAAGTATGTCAGTAACTGCTAATGATAGAGTATAATAGAGGTAAGTATGTCAGTAACTGCTAATGATAGAGAATTGTGTATGATAGAAGTAAGTATGTCAGTAACTGCTAATGATAGAGAATTGTGTATGATAGAGGTAAGTATGTCAGTAACTGCTAATGATATAGAATTGTGTATGATAGAGGTAAGTATGTCAGCAACTGCTTATGATAGAGAATTGTGTATGATAGAGGTAAGTATGTCAGTAACTGCTTATGATAGAGAATTGTGTATGATAGAAGTAAGTATGTCAGTAACTGCTAATGATACAGAATTGTGTATGATAAAGGTAAGTATGTCAGTAACTGCTAATGATATAGAATTGTGTATGATAGAGGTAAGTATGTCAGCAACTGCTTATGATAGAGAATTGTGTATGATAGAGGTAAGTATGTCAGTAACTGCTTATGATAGAGAATTGTGTATGATAGAAGTAAGTATGTCAGTAACTGCTAATGATAGAGAATTGTGTATGATAGAGGTAAGTATGTCAGTAACTGCTAATGATATAGAATTGTGTATGATAGAGGTAAGTATGTCAGCAACTGCTTATGATAGAGAATTGTGTATGATAGAGGTAAGTATGTCAGTTACTGCTAATGATAGAGAATTGTGTATGATAGAAGTAAGTATGTCAGTAACTGCTAATGATAGAGAATTGTGTATGATAGAGGTAAGTGTGTCAGTAACTGCTAATGATATAGAATTGTGTATGATAGAGGTAAGTATGTCAGCAACTGCTTATGATAGAGAATTGTGTATGATAGAGGTAAGTATGTCAGTAACTGCTAAAAATAGAGAATTGTGTATGATAGAGGTAAGTATATCAGTAACTGCTTATGATAAAGAATTGTGTATGATAGAGGTAAGTCCTTCATTAACTGCTAATGATAGAGAATTGTGTATGATAGAGGTAAGTGTGTCAGTAACTGCTAATGATAGAGAATTGTGTATGATAGAGGTAAGTGTGTCAGTAACTGCTAATGATAGAGAATTGTGTATGATAGAGGTAAGTGTGTCAGTAACTGCTAATGATACAGAATTGTGTATGATAGAGGTAAGTGTGTCAGTAACTGTTAATGATACAGAATTGTGTATGATAAAAGAAAGTGTGACAGTAACTGCTAGTGATAGAGAATTGTGTATGATAGAGGTAAGTGTGTCAGTTAATGTTTATAGTCAGTGATAGATTGTGTATGATGGGGGTAAATATTACATTTTACTCTCTTAAAGGATCGTATGTAGTTTGTGCCTTATTTATTTGTTTGGCCAATACTTTTGTGTTTTAGTCTGCTAGTTATTATATTGTAACTAACTTTTATTTTCACTCGTAGATGTTTAGACCTAAATTGTTATAATCTAATTATTATAATTATTTTTTAATGCAAGCAACAAAATGTTCTGTCTTATCTGCAGGCTGCAGTTGTGTTCAATGTGAATGAACAATTAAGAGAGCCTGCATTCGCCTTGACACCAACGATACTAAATGATTCAACAAAAGGCTTTAAACTCAAAGTTTGTTTCAGGTAATACATTCTTTGATCATTTTTCTGTAGATAAACGTCTTATTCAACCAACATAAGTGAAAAGTTTATTATAATATAAAATTTTAAAATACTTACCAATATGAGTGAAACATCATATATTACTCTACACAAATAAACTCATCATAGATACCATGATTAAAATTGTGTACGCCAGACGTGTGTTAAGTCTTCGACAGACTCATCAGTGATGCCCTAATGAAAAAAGTGAAAAAGGTCAAATGAAGTACGAAGTTGAAGAGCATTGACGACCTAAAATTCCGAAGGTTTTCTCAAATATAGTGAAGGTATTATATTCCCGAGGAAGAAAATCCTTAGCATTTAGAAAAATTCAAAGTTTTGTAAACAGCTATTTTGTAATTCTGACCATATTAATGATATTTTTTGTCAACACAGAAGTGCTGACTACTTTAATATTGCTAAAATAGAAAAAATATCAATGTTCACAGGTGGTTGAAGGTAGGACAGAGTACTATGGGAATACTTGAAATAACTTTACCGTCTGGGATGGAAGCTGACTTAGAGACAATCGATACTACCAATACTGGAGGACAGTACAAAAAAGTGGAAAAGGGTTTCCGTTCAATCAACTTATACTTTGACACGGTAATTAGTTTTCATTTATGAAAACCTTTCGTTTCAATCTTAAAATTGCAAACCTTTCGTAAATTACCATCTGTTTCTGCACGGTCGTTAAACATGTGTAGGTAACGTAAGTATGGTCAATTCCTTAGCTTTGCCGCCGCAGTCTGCATAATTTATTGAATTTTTTCTTAAAATATATTTAGAACTCAAAAATATATATATATCAACATCATTTTTATTGTAATGGAAACCGCAAATTATGACAGATCATTTAATTTTCCAAAATACCGCCATCTTAACGGTTTATTTGTACTTTTCTGTGTAAACAAACCTTCTCTTTTATGTTATCAACAGTAGGACAAAACAATGTAATACAGAATTTAAACGGTTATTTGTGCTTTTGTAGTTTTATTATAAATTATTGAAATGCGAAAACAATTTCTCCGCCTCCAGGATATTCATATACTTAAGTTGCCAAAACAATTTCTCCACCTCCATGATCGGCATATAATTCAGTTGCCAAAATGATTTCTCCACCTTCAGGATCGGCATATAATTCAATTGCCAAAACAATTTCATCACTTTCAGGATCGGCATATACTTCAGTTGCCAAAACAATTTCTCCACTTTCAAGATCGGCATATACTTCAGTTGCCAAAACAATTTCTCCACCTTCAATATCGGCATATACTTCAGTTGCCAAAACAATTCTTCTACCTTCAAGATGTGCATATACTTCAGTTGCCATAACATCAATTAACAGCACATTGTTTCTAATTACATTTTTTGCTCCTTACAATGTACGTCCGTCTGTGTAATGAGTTGTATGTACGACCTATTCTTTTACTAGGTACACTTCAAATTGTAAAAACGTATATAAATTTCATTTTAACAGATTTTGTCCACACAAATGTGTATTGCAGTAGATATAAGGAGAGTTGCCTTAGTTGCTCGACACAGACCTGTACCTATCAAACTGAGAGAGCATAATGAACCAAGTAAGTTTAAGCGAATAACAAAACATTTTGCTTGAATTGTTTAACACTAGTCAGTTTGGGGCCCTTTATAACTTGCTGTTCGGTGTAAGCCAATGCTCCATGTTGAAGGCCGTACTTTTACATATTATTGTCAACTTTTTATACATTGTGACTTGGATGGAGAGTTGTCTCATTGGCACTCATACCACACCTTCTTATTTATCATGTTTATAATGAATAGTATCTAACAGTATAGTGCCTATCAATCTCAATATCCAAAATGCAAGCATTACTAATGATTTCCTACTTTCTCATATACTTATATCTCTCAAAAGTTTATCTGTTTCAAATACTCTCAATCTTGAATGACGATATATATATTAAGATTACTATCTTCAGATGAGAGATGCCGTGGTTAAATTTAAATCTATTGCTTTAAACCAGCATACTATACATGATAAACAAATGTTCAAACAAACCAACAGTCTGCAATGCCGAATCATTCATGCATTCTTGGCATTGCAAAAGGTCATGTTTTTCTCTGACTGTTAATGACGCCTTTACACTAAATCCATTGGATGTCGGATGTGCACTGATTGATATGTTAGTCTTAGATGCATTATTTTTTTTATTAGTTGTTATTGGCTGTCATTATTTGCGAGTACTCTCAGATCTTTACTTAGCGCTTTTGTTGTGGGGATGTACAAGTACCCTGCCACGTCCTCTATGATTTTTTGTTACTTGTTTTTGTGCTTTGTGATCTGATGAGTTAAGCCCTTTTCAACTGATTTTTATAGCTTGTTCATATGTTGTACTGTTACACCCACTCTGCGGTTATGGTGAGGGTTGGACGCCCGCTAACATGTTTAAACCCGCCACATTATGCATGTGCCTGTGCCAAGACCTGTAATTGAGTGGTTGTTGTTTGTTACTGTATATAACATTTTATGTGCACATTATTTTGTACATAAATCAGGCCGTTAGTTTTTTAGTTTTAATTGTTTTACTTTTTTATTTCGCTATTATAGCTATTATAGCTGTAATAACTGACAATGCGGTATTTGTTTTACTCATTGTTGAAGGCCGTACGGTGGCCATCAGTTGTTGATTTCTGTGTTATTTTATCTCTTGTGGACAGTTGTCTCATTTACAATCATACCACATCTTCTTATCTTTATAATCACTTACAGCATGTTTGGTGTTAGAAGAGCAAATTTTTGAAAGTACTAGATTCTAATGCCTGATAGGTGAAAATTACGAGGGATGAAATTTATTTCAACTATCTCAGAAATTGTATCACGTATGAACATTGCTTGCTCAGCGTCAAACGGCAAATATTTCGTGTCAAGGACTATTCAATGTACGTGTATTTTGAAATGACATGTACATTACTAATCATACATTTACATTTAGGTAATGAGGTCATAAAGACTTATCAATCAAAAGCCTTGTCTACCGCCACCATCATAGAAGTATGTGGTCCTGACAATTGTGTAGAAGTCAAGGTAACAAATATTAAGAATTAATGAAAAAAAAATCTAACTAAAGATGTAAATGCAAATTTCTACACTCACTAAATAAAGAAGAAAATATAAAAGACCAAAATTAAAAAGAAAATCTACTTTTCAACTGAATGGAAGAGATTTTGTAGTTAGATTCAAGTCATGTTTTATGGGATTTATTCATAATGTTATGATATGTTATATTTTTTTTTAATCATGTGAACTAAACTTAATCGTTGAACAATATGATTTATAAAGTTGATTTGACATCATTATTATGATTTTGTTCAAAATTATGTTTTTCAGAAGCGATGATGACAAGAATTGCTTTCAAGAGGAACCCCTAACTTTCATGGTTTTTTTATACTTTATATAAATACTGTATTTTATTTGAAGAAGGCCGATAAAAGGTGAATTTGTCGTTTCTTTTGTATGTATTTTAGTGTTTTAAGAATGAACCTGAAAATATTTCTATGTATTAACATTTGTGTCTTAAAATCTTTATTTCAATAAACATAAACATAATCACGATTGTTAGATCTTCCTCATTCGTAGACTATGTTAAATGCATTGTAAAAATCATATAGTTTACTCAATATTTGTAGAAAAGGAGAATTGTTTACACCACATTTGTAGAAAAGGGGGATAGTTTACATCTCATTTGTAGAAAAGGGAATATCTTACACAACATTTGCAAAAAAAGGATTAGTTAACACCACATCTGTAGAAAAGGGAATAGTTCACTCCACGAGTGTAGAAAAGGAAATAGTTCACGTTCCATGTGTTGAAAAGGGAATAGTTCATACCACATGTGAATAAAAGAGAATAGTTCACTCCACATGTGTAGAAAAGGGAATAGTTCACACCACATGTGTAGAAAAGGGAATAGTTCACACCACATGTGTAGAAAAGGGAATAGTTTACACCACATTTGTAGAATAGGGAAATTATATATACAGGAGTAAAAGTACACTTTCGAAAGGATTTGATAAAAAGATACTTTACTGTTTGTTTTGTTCACACATTTTTGTCAATATAATGTCATGGGTGTCCGAGCAAAAAAATAAATCATCCACGGTTTTGTCAAATATTGTCTCGTTCTATTTTTCAAAAAGTTCATCGGAAAATACCGAGCCCTAATGGATATACATTCAGTGTCAACTTCACTAATAATACATGATGGTCCTGAGTTATAGATTCTAGGTGTTGACGTTGTGTATCATTTTATTAACTTTGCAGTGTTTCCTTTATTTTGTTATACTGTACTAACAACTACAAAAACTTATTTTGTTGGCGTCTTTGTTAGATATTATTGTACGTTTGTTTTGATTGTTTAAGTTTGCACAATGTTGGCTGTTGGATCCCAATTATTGTCACGCTAACTAATTATGTCTGTTTTTGGTTGCTCATGCAGTTTTGTCAATATGGCGTAATAATAAACAAAAGTGGGAAGTTCAGCTGCCTATAAAACGAAGTTTTACAACCATTATTTTTCGTAAATTGTCTAAACCAAGTCATGAATATGACAGTTGTTTTCCAGTTGTTCCGTTAGTTGATATAGTCGAAAATGTGGTTTTGTCAGGTTTAAGGGACTGTCTCCTTTTTTAATTTATATTGAAGTTCGGTTTTTTGTTAACACGTAAAACGCATAAAGGGGTCCGACTGACGATTTTGACAATTTGACTTATTTGTAGATCTTGTATAAATGATCATTTTGGCTATTAAGCTTCTCTTCATCCATTTTAACTGATAAGTGATGATAAAAGCTTCACTTGTTCTTCAAGCCAAGTGAGCTGGTAAAATGATAAAACATATTTGCGTGCGTTCGTGTGGATTACCACATTCAGATCATTCAGAAACATGATTATACAATGAAACTGGTTTTTTGATATATATGTAAAAAAAACATTCTCTAAATTTCTTTATTTTGCTTATTTATTATGATTTCTAGGTCCATAATCAGGTGATAAGTGAATTAATTAAGACTAGTTCTAAGCATATGAGGTGAATTTGTAAATAAAAGCACACTGAAAGAAAATATGATAATCATCTTAACGGAGAAACCCATGGCGACAAAACAAAATCTGATACGATTTTTACTGCGAAAAGTTCAAAACTGAGGAGTTCAGCTGAATATTTTATTGAGTTGTCTGGGGCCAAATGCACAGTAGCTAGGCGCCGTTTTATGTTCTACAACAGCAAGTCTTTTTTTATATTTGAGAAATTTTTGTTATGTCTAATTTATTCAATCGCCTGATAGCTGATGGGATAAATGAGTCATTAATTCTCGAAAGTATACGAAAAGGTACCATAATGACTTCAATATTTGAGCTGCGTCGGATAGAAATCGACCTTATGCAAATGAATATCAATGCATCTGTTAACTTACTTCAGGTTAAAAATATTCTATGAAAAGTCTGTAACTGTTTCAAATTGAGTTGATATAAGAACCCTACACAACGGACCTAAATTCATCTTTTATCTCGTATTTGAATGTTCAAAAAGGAATCAAAGCCTCATAAATGTACATGTATACGTGCAATTGCATAAGGTCGATTTCTATCCGACGCAGCTCATTTCTTAAAGATATTGTAGTTGAAGTACTTCGTTTTGATAATTGAATTAAATCACAAAGATTGAGAGCTAAAGACATTTTATATTGTTGAAGGTAGTATGTTGATTGTGTTTGTGCCGTTCGGATGCTGTCTTATTGAAGTATACCATTCATCTCCTTAAACTATTCTTAATGATTAACAACTGATAGTTCAATCGTACTTAAATGGTATTTTGGAGAGTTTTCAAGCAACCATTGGGGAAAATTAGTTTTGAAAAAACATATATATTCAAGTTGGAGTGAATAAATTTTAACTAGAAAAATAAACTGTTGACACAGAAATATGTCTCGTCTGTTGACATAAAATTCAGACAAAAAAAACAATCTGATGGACAGCAATATTGCTAATTAATTTTAAGTCACTGGACAATGAACTGGTGGGAAGGGCCTTGAAATGGTTGACAAACTGAGATGAACAAACACCATCGTAACTTCATAGAAAATAGTGTAGTCTATTGTAAGCAGTTCCTATCAAACTAACTTAAACAAAATACTTAACATTGAAAATTGTTAAGGAATTGAAAGTCACTGGACCATGACCTAGGGGATAGGGCCTTGAAAGAGTCATCAACTGATATGTACTGATAGTAATTCAACATTATAGATAGTATCATTGATCTATCACAAGGTTCCTATCAAACTGATTTAAGCAGACAACTTAACATAGAAAAGACTTGAATTCGAGAAAAAAACATTACTTTAAAAAAAAAAGTGCAATGGCAGATTCTGATAACAAAAAAGCGCATAGTTTTGCTGGAATTCGATAAAATTTTCTGGATGAATCTTCTTCTGGAACATCCGAAGTCAGCAACTTCAAAAGCAAAAACATGTGAATGAAATTATACATGATTGAACATGAATAATTTGTTTCATCGGTAGTAAAAATAAAACGATTCATATTCAAATCGGATATTGAATTTATTCTGTAATAATTTCGATTTGAACAGCATAATTCTTATTCCTGACTTACATTAAAATCTTGTAGATTAAATTTATTTGGTGAAACTATATATCAATAACAATCACTGCGATAAAACTACTATCGTCATGTGTATATGGTGGCTCCGATTAAGATACATTGTCGGGTTTTGGAGACACGTGAAAATGGTAACACATTTATATTTTCTGTGTTCTTATGTCAGTGTAGTTTTAACTGAGGAATTTACCATTACAATATTGAACTACGCAACGGCGAATATTGTTGTAAAAGTTAAGAGCACGTTTTTATTTTAAACACAGAATCTAAAATTCCATGTGCAGAAAAATGTACATCAAAGAGGATGGAATTCACTTTGTACGATTTGTGAAGAGGACATTGGCGCAGTGTTATACTCTAAGGTAATGGTTTGCCTACTTTGTATTTCAAACTAATATTTAAAGTGATATTTTAAACTGAGATATCTACAGTCTTTTCAAATATAAACTATGCAGTATCTACAGGCTTCTCAAATATAAACTATGCGATATCTACAGTCTTCTCAAATGTAAACTACGCGATATCTACAGTCTTCTCAAATATAAACTACGCGATATCTACAGTCTTCTCAAATATAAACTATGCGATATCAACAGTCTTCTCAAATATAAACTATGCGGTATCTACAGTCTTCTCAATCAAATATAAACTACGCGATATCTACAGTCTTCTCAAATATAAACTACGCGGTATCTACAGTCTTCTCAAATATAAACTACGCGGTATCTACAGTCTTCTCAAATATAAACTTCGCGATATCTACAGTGTTCTCAAATATAAACTACGCGATATCTACAGTCTTCTCAAATATAAACTATGCGGTATCTACAGTGTTCTCAAATATAAACTACGCTATATCTACAGTCTTCCCAAATATAAACTATGCGATATCTACAGTCTTCTCAAATATAAACTACGCGGTATCTAGAGTCTTCTCAAATATAAACTACGCGATATCTACAGTCTTCTCAAATATAAACTACGCGATATCACAGTCTTCTCAAATATTAACTACGCGATATCTACAGTCTTCTCAAATATAAACTATGCGGTAACACTGTCTTCTCAATCAAATATTAACTATGCGGTATCTACAGTCTTCTCAAATATAAACTACGCGATATCTACAGTCTTCTCAAATATCAACTATGCGATATCTACAGTCTTCTCAAATATAAACTATGCGATATCTATAGTCTTCTCAAATATAAACTATGCGGTATCTACAGTCTTCTCAAATATAAACTATGCGATATCTACAGTCTTCTCAAATATAAACTATGCGATATCTACAGTCTTCTCAAATATAAACTACGCGATATCTACAGTCTTCTCAAATATAAACTACGTGGTATTTAGAGTCTTCTCAAATATAAACTACGCGGTATCTAGAGTCTTCTCAAATATAAATTACGCGATATCTACAGTCTTCTCAATCTTCTCAAATATAAACTACGCGATATCTACAGTCTTCTCAAATTTAAACTACGCGATATCTACAGTCTTCTCAAATATAAACTATGCGATATATACAGTCTTCTCAAATATAAACTATGCGGTATCTACAGTCTTCTCAAATATAAACTATGCGATATCTACAGTCTTCTCAAATATAAACTATGCGATATCTACAGTCTTCTCAAATATAAACTATGCGGTATCTACAGTCTTCTCAAATATAAACTATGCGGTATCTACAGGCATTTCATGTAGCTGATATTGTTATTTTGTCTTGGATGTAAGCCTTTAGTAGCAAATGCTAGGAGGGTGAACGGTCCTCCACTTTTCTCCGTAAATGTTCAAAGAAAATATGACTGGTAAAACCATAGTCAATTCTTCCTGTTTCAAACAAACGGTGAGGATGTCCATTGCTTTAAATAAAGGTTGTGAAGACAAAGGCAAAATAAAGATTTTATCTAATTTCTT